ACTAACTTTTTTAAACTAAGAATTAAGGAATATTAAATTAGTATCTTCAAAAATTACCATGCTTTCTTAAAAATAACCGAAACCGGATATAACTAGTTAGCTGGATGACACGAAATAATATTTCAGAGTGCTTCGTTATATTTCATTCCTTCTTTTCTAACAATCGTTGATCGATATTTTTATATCAACTAAGCAAGGAAAGATCCAAATATAAATTATTATTATTAGAAAAAATTGAAAAGGTATTTCACCACTGAAAGAGAAACATAAAAAGTAATTTTTAGTATTTTTTTAGACTATCAAGCAACTAAAGCTGACGGGATTGACAATTGAAACCTTTGAATAAAAAGATTAAGGAAAGGGTATAATGTTTTCCATGTATTCATGCATGGTAGACGGACAAAGGGCCCTAGGATGTGGATCCTTGACAATTCTGTTTGACGATTCTTTTGACACATTCGAATTCGATTTGAAATTTTGTAGATTTGTCAACCTTTACTGAGCTTATTTTATGTTATTTATTATTTATCCCACTACTGATGGTTGTTTAAACGTAGTAAATCTAGAAGGAAATTGTGGCAGAGCTTAAAATATCAGTGACTCTATTGCGATTTATCGAAAAATAATTTGTTGTGCAGTAAAGTTAGCGTACGGTACATCTCGGTCAAAAATTAAGGGAAATAATGGAACAACTTTTCACTAGTAAATGACTATACATATGTGTATAATATACTTAGCTATATATGTTTAGCAAACCGATCATTTTTGAAATTCGGCTCTTGTGTACAATAGGTCTTCACGCATTTTACACTTTTTTTGGGATTTTTTGCAACATTATTTTAAATTATACATTTCTAAACAAAAAAATTGTTGGATGAGTGTGTTTTTCTTTAAAAAGCGGCGAAAACGTATTTTACGTGGATGGGACATAAAGCCTGGGAGTTTCATAGTTGTCAATTTTCGAAAGAAATCAGTACATTTATTTTATTTCGTATATTTTTCATTTTATTGATTTTATGGAAAGCACTGTTCATTAAAATGTTGTATCCTATGTTATAGAGCTTGTTTCTCTCTACAATTTTCTGTTTTACAATGTACCGTTTGGTGTCCGGGAAGAGTTCATAGTTTCATAGTTGTCGATTTTCGAAAGAAATAAGTACATGTATATTATTTCGTATATTTTTCATTTTATTGATTTTATGGAAAGCACAGTTCATTAAAATGTTGTATCCTATATTATAGAGCTTGTTTCTCTCTACAATTTTCTGTTTTTCAATGTACCGTTTGGTGTCCGGAAGAGTTCATAGTTTCATAGTTGTCGATTTTCGAAAGAAATCAGTACATGTATATTATTTCGTATATTTTTCATTTTATTGATTTTATGGACAGCACAGTTCATTAAAATGTTTTTATCCTACGTTATAAGGCTTGATTCTCTCTACAAATTCCTGTCTCACAATGTACCGTTTGTATCCGGGAAGGGTTCATAGTTTCATAGTTGTCGATTTTCGAAAGAAATCAGTACATGTATATTATTTCGTACATTTTTCATTTTATTGATTTTATGGAAAGCACTGTTCATGAAAATGTTGATCCTATGTTATAGGGCTTGTTTCTCTCTACAATTTCCTTACTATTAATTAATAATAAATATTAATTGTTATTAAATATTCCCATATTGTAAGCTGGGACTAACTACTTTTTACGCTGTGGGGGAAATAGTCCATTAATTACTACCCGAGGCAAACGTTTGTTGCATAAATAATATAACAAGATTGCCTGTTGCAACACATTAAATTTATCACTCTGTTTGAGCATATTATTACTTAAAAATATGTAGAGTACTTTATTACCGTCTTAAAGTTATTTTATAATTATTACTAAAATTTAATATATACAGTAATGCTATACAGGGTGTCCCAATATTTCTTGGACATAGAACTACTACTTATTTTTGGAATCAAAATATGTTCATTGGACACAATTTACGTCTATACAAAAGTGCTAATTTTAAAAAATTAAACACATTTTTTCAGATATTTTAATAACCGATTTGAATGAAATTTTGGGTGTCTATGTTTTGCTAAGTGCTCTAACACTCAACTTTCACAAAAATTAAGCGAAAGTACAGGAAGGGTGAGAACTATCCCCACCCCTTATTATTTATCAAATTATATTTGAGAATAAGCTTCATAAAAAGCTTAAAAAATATACTTAATTAGTTAATAATTTTTACATTAATTAACGTTCAGGTTTATTTTTGATTGATGTCCTCTAACGGACAAGCGAAGCACTTTTGTATATATAATAGGTTATTGAAGCACTTTTGTATATATATATATATATATATAAGGTATGTATATTTGCATTTAACTTATTTTGATCCAAAAAATACGTAGTTGTTTTATGTCCATGGAATATTGGAACTCCCTGTAGGTTTGCTTTAGAAAAATAAATTATCCAACAATTTTTTCACAAAAACTATCCATTGTAGCGTTTTTTTACAAGAGACAAAAAATGTAGTAAACACTAAAGGGACCATTTTACGAAAAAAAATCTGTCGTCGCCGGTAGAGTTGGAAAATATTTACACCAAAATTTATGTAGGGGCCTATCGTACTTTTTTTTGATTTTTGTGAAATCCAAATGTTAAAGCACTTGCTAAAACATAGACAGTAGACATTTTGTAAAATTACAGTAAAAATTTTAAGGCTTCATTTCTCTAGGGTATCAAAGTTTTTAATACTAAATATTTACTGAAGTTTATTTATTGATCAGTTATAGTGTTGCATTAATAAAAATAATACTACCTCATACAGAGTGTCTAAAAAATTATTTTAAATAATTACTAGCTTTAAACGGCAATAACTTGTTTAATTTAAATGAAACACCCTGTATATTTTATGAGAATCAGATGCACAATAATTTAATTATCTATCAAATTGTATTATACCATTTTTTTACCTACCTTTTCAAGTTTTCGTAGAAAATGCATTTTCTTATAATTTAGACCTCATTTATCACTATACCCATGAAATATTGACATTTTAGATTATTTTTAAAGATGTAACAAATTTTCAAAGAGTACAGATACTAATATTGTCGATATAATTCGTTTATTTCATTAAAAAATAAAAAAAAAACTATTTAAATATTTGTTAAAGAGGACCAATTAATATGATTCCACTATTCAAACTACATTAATTTACTGTTTGCGTTAATTAATAATAATTACTCCAAATACTAAAAAACTGAATTTTGTATGTGTATTAGAAAGTGTGGTAAAAATAATACCTTAAAAATTTATTACATTTTTTATAACAACAGAGACGTTCATTTTCATAACTTATTATTATATTGATCTAAGATTCAAATCCACATTTATTTAGAATAACTTATTAACTAACACAATTAAGTATGTAATTAATTCATATTTGGGCTGATAATGGTGGTATATTTAATTAATGATATACTCTTTTATAAAGATTTAAATAGTTTTCTTTTTGTATACAAATGAGCTAGTAATATTATGGTATTTAGCACCTGTACATCTTGTACATTTGTTGCTTTAAAAACAATCTAAAATGTCAATATTCCATGGGTATATTGATAAATGGAGGTCTAAATTATAAGAAAATGCATTTTCTACGAAAATTTGAAGAGATAGGTAAAAAATGGTATAATACAATTTGATAGACAATTAAATTGTGCATCTGATTCTCCTAAAATATACAGGGTGTTCCATTTAAACTAAACAAGTTATTGCCGTTTAAAGCTAATAATTATTTAAAATAAATATTTAGACACTCTGTATGAGGTAGTATTATTTTCATTACTGCAACATTATAACTGATCAATAAATAAACTTCAGTAAATATTTAGTATTAAAAACTTTGATACCCTCGGAGAAATGAAGCCTTAAAATTTATACTGCAATTTCACAAAATTGAAAATATTTGAAAAACGGTAAGGTTTAAGTGTAATAAACCTTAATCAAATTTACCTTTATTTTAATCGTAGAAACTAAAAATGTAATAATATACAGGGTGTTCCATTTAAAAAAAAATACAACTTTGATATTTTTTATTTATTTGGGACACTCTGTAACTTGTAAAAATATTTTTAAATTGTAGCTCTAATAGTCCTTCACCGAACCCAAAACTTACAATTTGTAAAAATCTAATCGTTTAGCTAGAATATTCCGTGTCGTATGTGGTGAACAACCCTGTATACTATACAGGGTGGTCCGAACTGTATTCCGGAATTTTCGGCAGCATATTCTGCAGATAAAAATAAGTAAAAAAGTTTGTATAAATGTATGTTCATAAATGCTTAGTTTCGGAGATACAGGGTGTAGAAGTTCCATTTTTATTTCGAATTTTTCCAAATAATTTCTGAAGTAACGTCAATATTTGGATGAAAATTGGTGTCTGGGGGTTTTTTGACACGAGAAATTTGATTTTGTTGTCAATATGACTCTTACTTGCAGAGGGCGCCACCCACATTTTTTAACTGGTTTGAAGAACCATTTGCCGAAAAACGCTCTTTACCATCTTTTGACGGGAGATGCGCAATTACCGACACTTTACTACATCGTTTGTTGAAAAGGTTTTGCTTGCCGTATCGGTGAGAACCAGCCCCTGGACAGCCCACCTGATGAAGGGTAGGCCCAGAAACCGGTTGTGGGGAGTGGAGCTTGGTTCCCCTCTTTACGACAAGCAAAACAATTTTCTCTTTACTTTTTATTTTTCTCTACTTTGGATTTTTCGAAATTAGAAAAAATACACAGCTAAAGGCAAGAAAATATCATTTATTAATATACACTAAAGCTGTAAGAATTTTGTTCATTTCAATAAAAATATATTGTCTGATCCAAAATAAAACAAATTAATTGCAGACACGTGTTTATAGCTACATGGTTATAGACTATACAGTAACGTTGAGTGAAAAGGGTAAATAAATGTATATAATAGATTTATTGATAATTGATTTTTGTTTCAGCATATTTCTAATTTAGTATTGCTACTAACATCCAACATACTCGGCCTCACATCATATCTTGTTGAAGACAAACAACAACGAAGAGCTTTCCTAGAAACCAGACAATCCCTAGAAGTAAAATTGGTGATAGAGGAACAAAGTGCTGAACAGGTAAGTTATGTGACGTAATTCTACGTCATTTAATTGGTAAATATCAGTAGCTTTATCAAAATTTGTGACTTGACCAAAATCGCCAATTTTCATGACTATATGTATGAAAAAAAGTTGAAATATTGTCAATATTTGGTATTTTTTAACTGTTTTCATAACTGCTTGGAACACCCTCAAAAAGAAAATTCCACTTCTCCAACTCCCAGTGGATGACATACCAAGAATTTACAACTTTGAGAAACACCTCACTGTAGTATTGAGTAATAAAAAGGATTGGAAGGAAGAAACGCTTACTCAGCATATAAAAGACCATACCATAACGTGGTATACTGATGCTTCCAAAACCAAAGCAGGGACAGGGATAGGAGTATTTGGGCCGAAAACCAAATACTCCGAACCAATGGGCACCTACCCCAGTATCCTTCAGGCAGAAATTTACGCTATCGAAAGATGTGTACAATTTATCTTAGGAACTATCGAAAACAGGAAATTGCCATCCTATCCGATAGTCATGCAGCACTAAACGCGATCAACTCAGTAACCATCAATTCGAAGTTGGTCAAAGAATGCCTAGAGAAGCTCAACAAGTTGGGCAAAAAAAAGTCCTCCTACTCTGGCTGCCTGCTCACCAAGGGATAGAAGGCAATGAAAAAGTAAATGATCTAGCTAGGAAAGGAGCGAACACTCCACTAACTGCACCAGAACCGTTCTGTTTTCCAAGCGGAAACAAACTGAAACCGGAACTGAAGAATCTGGAAGACTCCAACTGCAACTTAGAATGAGTGCCCTCCAACAGTCTAAGACACTCGAAAAAGTTCTCAGAACCTACGACCGAGAAAAATCAAAGGTTTTCCTTGATTTAAGTAAAAACAATCTTCGGATTGTCACGGGGTTCCTAACAGGACAGTGTTTCCTCAACGAACACCTCAGTAGGCTGAAGCTGAGAAACAACGGCCAATGCAGATTCTGTGGGGAATATGGGGAAACACCAGAAACCTCATCACTGAGTGTGCCGAGACGACGACCATGCCATGAACTTTGGTACGTCTGATGTCAAGGATGGAGAGCTGGCCTCTATGGAGCCGTCTCAGATACTGGTTTTTGTTAAAGCCTTGAGACTGTATGATGAGTTATAACTGGTTATAGCTCAAGAAAGGGGGTCACACAATAGATCTTTAAGGTCGCGGTGACTAACTCCCCTCCTAAACATTCTACATTCTACAAGTTATGTGACGTAATTCTACGTCATTTAATTGGTAAATAACATAAAGTCGCCAATTTTCATGACTATATGTATGAAAAAAGTTGAAATATTGTCAATATTTGGTATTTTTTAACTGTTTTCAAGGCTCTTATAAATAGTAAACCTGAAAAAAAAAATAAAAATTTCAAGATTTTTTGGAAATTTTATGTACTTTTTGAAAATATAAAAGTATTAGAGTTTAAATGTTTCAGTTTCTTGTTAAAATCGATATTCTGAACCCTTGTCTATGAGCGAGATTTAAGCATGGTTGAAACTGTGCCTATATCTAGTATCGCTATAGCTACTGAAAAAGTCGATAATCGACAATTTTTAACATTTTTAAGTGTATTTGAGGCTCTCGGAAAAGAAATAAACTAGGTCAAAGAGTTCTGAAAAGTTCAGATTATATAAAAAATGTTATGTACTTTTCGAAAATATAGAAGTATTAAGGCCTAAATATTTAATTTTTCTGGTAAAATTGATTTTTTAACCCTTGTTCATGAGCGATTTTTGATGATGGTTAAACCTGTGCCTATATCTCTAATACCTTACTCGCAAGGCCATAATGGTATTGTATATTATCGGGATCTACATACTACAGTTAAACTACAGTTGTTTTTATTAAAATCGGCAATTTTCATGACAATATGTATGGAAAAAAGTTGAAAAATTGTCCATTTTTAGAATTTTTTTAAGTGTCTTCGAAACTGTTGAGAAAAGAATAAACCAGGTCAAACAATTCAAAAATCAGAAAATAAAAAAAAAATTATATATACAGGGTGAATCTTAATTAAGTGCAAATATTTTCAGGGCTGGTAGATCTCGATAAAAGAATCATATTTTCTCTATACCGTTTTTCCAATGAGTTCAAAATAACCGTAAAGTATATTTTACTTTGAAAATATAAAAAATGATTTTTTGCTTAAATTTTGAGAACCACTGTTCTTCTTTGTTTTTTTTTCTTGTAAATTTAATCTAGTACCTAGGATGCCATATTACCAAAAAGTTATATGTTTTTTAACTAAAAACTAAAAAAATTTCGATTTTTTTTTGAAAAAGTTTTTTTTCACAATTTTGAAGAAAAATCGTGTTCCTAGAGACGAAATATTTGCACTTATCTAAGACTCACCCTGTATAAATAGCTACCGAAATAAGTGTTAAGTAAAACAACTTGCATCTTAACGCTCATTTTTATAAAATTAAAAAACTTTCTCACGATTTGAGACTTGTACGATAGGATTTTTAAAAGAATTAATCGTTTTTTTTTCGTTTTTTTTTCAGGAAAGGCTTTTACTCTCTGTTCTTCCCGAACACGTAGCTGTACAAATGAGACAAGACTTGGATCAGGCAGACAGTCAGTTTAAGAAAATTTATATGAGCCGACATGAAAATGTCAGGTAAATATTTTCTTATTTTTTTTTTAGTTTTTTAACTGTTTATATACAGGGTTGTTCACCACATACGACACGGAGTATTGTAGCTAAACGAATAGATTTTTACAAATTGTCTATTTTGAGTTCGTTGAAGGATTCATTTTAGAGCTACAATTTAAAAATATTTTTATAATATACAGAGTGTCCCAAATATGTAAAAAATACTAAACTTGTATTTTATTTAAATGGAACACCCTGTATGTTATTCTTTTTTTAGATTCTACGATTGAAATAAAGGTAAATTTGATTAAGGTTTATCACACTTAAACCTTACCGTTTTTTAAATATTTTCGATTTTGTGAAATTGCAGTAAAAAATTGAAGGCTTCATTTCTCCAAGGGTATCAAAGTTTTTAATACTACATATTTACTGAATATTATTTATTGATCAGATATTGTGTTTCAATAATAAAAATTATACTTCCTTATACAGAGTGTCCAAAAATTTATATTAAATAATTACTAGTTTTAAACAGCAATAACTTGTTTAATTTAAATGGAACACCCTGTATATTTTTCGTCATTCAGATATTCTATGGGTATAGTGATAAATGAGGTCTAAGTTATAAGAAAATGCATTTTCTACAAAAACTTGAAGATATACGTAAAAAATGGTATAATACAAATTGATAGAGAATTAAATTGTGCATCTGAATCATGTAAAATATACAGGATTTAAATTAAACAAGTTATTACCGTTTTAAGGTAGTAATTATTTAATATAATTTTTTGGACACTCTGTATAAGAAAGTATAATTTTTATTATTGCAACACAATATCTGATCAATAAATAATCTTCAGTAAATATGTAGTATTAAAAACTGGGATACTCTTAGAAAATTGAAGCCTTCAATTTTTTCTGCAATTTCATAAAATTGAAAATATTTAAAAAACGGTAAGGTTTGAGTGCGATAAACCTTAATTAAATTTACCTTTATTTCTATGGTAGAACCTAAAAATAGAATAATGTACAGGGTGTTCCATTTAAAAAATACAACTATATTTTTTACTTATTTGGGACACCCTGTATCTTGTAAAATTATTTTTAAATTGTATCTCTAATAGTCCTTCAACGAACCCAAAACCTACAATTTGTAAAAATCTAATTAAATTTAGCTACTATACTCAGTGTCGTATGTGCCTATATACCTTTATTCTTTGTATATTACTTGTGCAATCTTAAGTACTAAAATTGCTATTTTTATAAAATAATTTTACTAAAGAAATATCGTCCCATTGCTGCCAAAAGTCACTAACTTACTTTTTATTACTTCCGAGAAAAATGCGTCTAAAGATGAATTGCATTGCATAAAGATGTTATAGTTAGTAACTATTCGGTATTAAAATAAAACATAAATAGCCAAAAATCGTAGTTAATGACTTTTGCAATCGATTTTCCGCTTCAAAACATAGTTAGTGATTGAATTTGGTTGTTCGGAAAAATGTTAGTGACTTTTGGCAGCATTAGGACGATATGCACAACTCTGAGGTATATGAGTCACATTTAATATTACTAAAGTAAAAATTAAAATTGTTGAAGCTGGCAAATAATCATATGAAATGATTAAAAATTTAAAAAAAATTTTTTTTGACTATAACAAATTGAAATATCTAAGTTCAATTTTCAATTATGAATATCTGTAACGTAAATTATTATATGCCTTCCTTTTTATATTTGTGATCGAAAACAAATTAATTGTAATATTCCCAAGGCGTATTGTTATTATTTTACAATAACAATATAACTGAAAATAACTGAAAATCCGAAACTCAATCAGTTTATATATAATTAATGTTAATCACATATGAATTTATTTGAACATTTAATTATAATTAAAGAGAAATACTCAACAAACACAAATTACATTTTGCTAATTCTAAATGAACTTAATATGTTCGATATTTGATTTGAATTTCATTTAAATAATTAAATTGAAAATAAATAAATATTATGTGTTTTTTTAATTTAGGCGTAAATTATACTGAGTGATTTATTATTATAAAGTTCATAAATAGTAAAAAATGATATCTTCTTGGACAGACGTAGTTTAGTGTCGAGGTTCTCTAAAATACGGAGTGAGTTTCCTACGATGTTCTCTATGGGTATCTCGGAAACTACTGGAGATAAAGAGTCCGTTAAATGGGTAAAGAATTGCAGTTTTGTGGGGTTATAAATATGCGTCTTTCAGATTTTTGAAAAAGTTTATGGCTTACTAGATATTTCGACAAAAAAAACAAATTTTGGCTATTTTAAAAATTGTCTCTAATTTCATTATAATCTATTTTAGAAAAAAAAGTTTTCATATAAAAGATGTAGATAATCACATCCCTAATAAGTTTGTGCTCTTCGATTTTTTCTAAAGTCTGTCATTTTTGACATATGACATAAACATATGTTTTTTTAAATAGAAACCATAGTTGGCGATGACTTCATAAAAAGCGCCATTTTTTAAGCTTTTCAGCGATATAAGCTATAATATGTTTTTATCACAAAATTACTGAGTTATAGCCAATTCTTATCTTCACCCTGTACATTGGAAGTTCAAAATACTTTATTTTTACAGTGTATTACCGTTGATTGAAAGAATTGGGAGGATACGTATATAACCTAGTGGGCGAATTCGTGACAAGGCTTGTCTTCCCCTTACGTCTCATGTGCTGTACGGTGGAGACACCAATAATTGTTCTGCGGTCAACGCATAAAACACTTATTTTCTCTAATTCGGCCAGCGAAGGTATATCGAAGATCTGTGGATCTGAAAGCGACAGTGTTGCCATATTAAAATGTGTAATATCTGTAATACGTTTGACAAAAATATCTTTGCATGAAAAATCCGCGTTTATGTATTGAAAATTTATTCCTGTTAAGCATAGGATAAACAACAAAAATAAAAATTCTTTTATAGGTATTGAATACTCATATGATCGACAAAAGTCGATTAGTTGGCTTGGAAATGACGATTGACATTTACCATAATATTTTACATATGACATAACAGCGACCTTCATTTCCAAGTCAACTCTAACGCCGTTCTTTCTTTAATCTTATAGTATTATATTAAATTTCTTAATGATCCATATTATTACCGTACTGTACCCAAAATCCGTAAATTTATGGATTAATCTGTAGTTCTGGCAACACTATCTCCGGCAACCACTCACTCTGTCGACTGAAAGCAGAACTACGTTACGACTACCAGCGCGCAGCGGCGCAGCGCTAAACTAAATCTCGGATAGGCTGACGGTAACGCCAGCTGCATCTTGGACAGGTTTTGTGCCACGAAATCGCCCATAAGGTTACGCATCTTCTTATTTCTTCAATCAACAATATTATGTTTAAAAAATGCAGATTTTATTTTCAAAAACAATAAATTATTTTACTTATTTAACTTGATTATTTTCACTCAGTATGAGAGAACCTTGACATCTGCACGAGAATATCTGTTTAGGAGTTTAAGTCAACTTGTTAGTTACCTATTCTATGGTGCAGACAAATTCGACTGCATTTTAGCAAAGTTAGGTCGACGCTTCAAAGTTACTGTCGCCTTTCAAAACTTGTAAATAAGTATTTCCTTGAAATTTTATGTATAAGTAACTTAGAACATTCAAGGCCAGGAAAACAACTACGAACTTAAAGCTCTAAGTATGTTTTGTATGTTTTTTAATATCACTCTGTCTCTTTGCTGCAAACTTATTGATATTTTATTTTAATAAGTTTTTTATTTTTTTAGGTACATAAAAGGTGCATAGTACAAAAATAAGAGTAATTTTTGTCTCTACCTTTTTTATCCCTTTTCCCTTTATAAACGGAGATTGAAATTGGCCAAGCGGGGGCACTCTGCCGTACAATATTTTCAATTAATGTTGCTTTCGCTGCGTCAGCAAAAAGACCGAATAGCTAGTATTGATGATGAAACATGCTGAAAATTAAAAGTGGTCCTGTTTCTTATTTAAGGTCATGTTTCCCCGCCTAACTTTGTCTTGTCTCGGCTTATTTCCGGTTGACTCGGCTTGTTTTTATTTTCCTTGACCGACTTTTATTTCTTAAAAGCGATGACAGAAGCCCCGAAACTACTAGTGAAATTGTGGAGAAGAGTGTGAAGAGATTATTTTTTGGCGACTTTGGTTGTCTCCTGTTGTCTCGTTTAATTTCGTTTTGTCTCGAGCCACTCCACGACGTGCTGGTTTCTATACCCGAGACAAAGGACTTTTTTTAATAAATCTTAGTGAAATAAGTAAACCTAGACGTTTCTAAAATATCTGTTGCTACAAGATGAGATTTATTTAATTACATATCGTTTTATGTTTATATATATTCCACGAGGTTTTTTTAATATGTATAGTAGATATTTCAAAAACAAAATGTTCACTTAATTTGCAGGAATATAGTTACAATATTTTTATTATTTAACTTTATTAGGTATAATGAATTAGTAGGTATATAAAATTGTACATATTATGATTTTTTACGGCCTTAATTGATTAATATAATAGTAGAATTTTTTGATGAGAAATACTGGTAACATCATCAAAATATATCGAGCTGATTGGGAAAATTATTGATTAACCCGATGTCAATAAAAGTATGATCTACAGACATTTTTAAAAAGCAATGTCCTCTTTTTGTTCTAAGAGAAAACTCTAAACGACACTTAAAGTACACCGCATGGTTTGAATAAATCCATTCAAAAAAAAGAAATAATTATTTTCGAATAGCCAATTTAATCTACCATCATCGGTAACTGTTTTCTAAATGCACTGTTTTCGATTTTTCATATGAGTTTAATTAGTAGTATTATTAGTATTAGTATTTAATTAATTAGTAATTAAAGTAGGATTATTGTTGGGTGTTGTATATTAGTATTAATCAGTAGAGGTATAACACTCTATTACAAACTAATGATATTTATTCATGCTCCATGTTTACTTATTTTTCTGAAGCCACGACAAAGTTTGACCTTGATTGCTTTGCGAAGTAGTATGAATAATATAGATGCGTGTTATAAAAGTTTTGCCAAAACGTTTCTAGAAATATTTCCCGAGACAATCCCAATAATAATAAAAAACAAACAATCTTGTCTCATGTCTTGTCTCGGTCGATTTTGATCTGTTTTGAAGCTTTCGGCCGAGACAAGCTGAAACATAAGAAAAGCATTGAATTTACTTCTGGAAGTATTTCGAGAAATGCTTCTCGAAATGTTTTACGAAATATTTCCAGACACATTTAGGGAATAGTGTAGAGGGCGTATTAAACTTGCTAACGCCACATTTCGTATAAGGACGCAAATCTAGCACATGATGTTTCGAGATCTCTATGGGTATCTCGGAAAATACAGGAGATAGAGAGTAGGTTAAATGGGGAAAGAATTGCAGTTTTGTGGCGTCATAAATATGCGCCTTTCAGATTTTTGAGTTGAAAAAATTCATGGCTTACTAGATATTTAAAAAAAAACAAATTTTGGCTATTTCAAAAATTGTCCCTAATTCCATTATAATCTATTTAGACAAAAAGTTTTCAGATAAAAGTTGTAGATAACCACATCCCTAATGATTTGTCTTCTCCGATTTTTTCTAAAGCCTGTCATTTTTGACATATGACACAAACATATCTGTTTTTTTAAATGGAAACCATAGTTGGCCATGACTTCATAAAAAGCGCCATTTTTTAAGCTTTTCATCGATACAAGCTATAATATGTTTTTTTTTCAAAAAATTACTGAGTTATAGCCAATTCTTATCTTCCTTGACTAATTTCACTTAGTTAGCCATGGAAACAAGTTCAATTGTCGTTGCTCTCAGAAATATGAAACTGTCACATCCAAACTTTGTAAATTAAAATAAACAACAATTGTAAATATGAATTTTTCAAATGAAGAAAAGCGTATAGGATTATTGGTTCAACTTTTTTGGCCATAAGTTTCGAGGATACGTTGACCGGTGAACGTTACTTACGTTTTGTAGAGAACGGTTTTCAAGGCATGTCAGAAGAGTTAAATTTAGATACCCGTGCATTAACAGAGTGGTTCCAACATGACTTTCATTAAGACATACCACCCTACGATGAAAGAAATGTTAAAAATTATTTATATCATAATTATGTAGACTCAGGGATAGAAAGAGGTGGACCAATTGCATGAGCCTCCTCGATCCATTTTAGCTATTCAGTTTTAAAAAAATGCATTTATGTACACAAAATACTCAAAACAATGGCGGAATTTTTGAACATTTTCTGAAATAACTTAAAGTGTATGTAGTGATATTATTTTTTTAAGTGTTAGTTTGTGGAATGTAAATTGTAAAGAGCCGTTTAGTAATATATTTTGTGTTCTTATAAGTTATAAATGATAAGAAAATAAGAACACCATGCCAACTAAGTGAAATTAGTCAAGAAAGAAAGGAATTGGCTATAACTTAGTAATTTTTTGAAAAAAACATATTATAGGTTATATCGCTGAAAAGCTTAAAAAATGGCGCTTTTTATGAAGTCATGGCCAACTATGTGGCCAACTATATGGCCAACCATTTAAAAAAACATATGTTTGTGTCATGTGTCAAAAATGATAGGCTTTAGAAAAAATCGGAGAACAAAAACTCATTAGAGATGTGATTATCTACAACTTTTACCTGAAAACTTTTTGTCTAAAATAGATTATAATGGAATTAGGGACAATTTTTAAAATAGCCAAAATTTGTTTTTCTCTTAATATCTAGTAAGCCATGAACTTTTTGAAAAATCTGAAAGGCACATATTTATGACCCCACAAAACTGAAAGTCTATCCGCATTTAATCGACTCTCTATCTCCAGTACCTTCCGAGATATCCATAGAGAACATCGTAGGAAACTCACCCTGTATTTCTATTAAATTTAAGAGATACTTTGTTATTTACGTAGTCAGTTTTATTTAGTAATATTCTTTTTCGTTTTGTTTCAGTATTTTATACGCAGACATTGTGGGTTTCACAGCCATCTCATCTACATATTCCGCACAAGAATTAGTTAAAATGCTAAACGAATTATTCGCGAGGTTCGATAAGCTAGCCGAGGCAAGTAAGATTTATGCACGCGAACCACTAATAGCTTTAAGGCCATAAATAAAATTTAGTTGCTTACTTTTTTTCGTTCTTTTTTATAGAAATACCAGCAGTTAAGGATCAAAATTCTTGGTGACTGCTACTACTGCATTAGTGGAGCTCCAATTGAAAGACCTGATCATGCCGTTCTTTGTGTTCACATGGGACTATCTATGGTTAAAGCGATAAAGTAAGTCTGAAATATGATCAAAATAAATAAATAATTTAGAAAAAAATCAAAATAACGAAAAAGCCTCATATCTTTTGAACAAAATATGAGGCTCTTTTACATGCTCTTTTAAACGAGCCCACGCTTGTTGGATTCCGATCATCCAGTCCAGAGTTATTAGTATTTAAATAAAAAAAAGATCTAACCTTCCCCCACCACTTTATTTTGGTAGATAGGGGAAAATAGCTCTAACAAAAAATATTCAAAATTTACTGAAAATTATGAATCTGTTACTTATAGTACACCTTATCTAGACAAAATTGCGTAAAAACTCCATTTTCTTATTTTTTGTTGCAGTTGCGCCCCCTAGCGGTCGTTCTACAAACTTGGAAATAATTTCTAGCATTTTCTCATAGCCTCTTTAGTTATAAATATTTTTTTCCGCAGCCCCTACGGCTAATACTTTCCGAGATACAGCCGAGAGCTATTCTTAGTGGGACACCCTGTACATGAAAGTTTTTAAAATAGTTTATTTTTTTCTACACACATTTTCCTACACACGTAAAAACCGGAAACACTGTATGCCGCTTTCTATTTTGTCTCTCTGTCTGTCAAGCAGCCATTTATTTATTTTGCATCCATTAAAATACAGACCACGCAGATGAAGTGTCCAGGATGGTACGTTTTGTTGACATAAGTTACTTTTTGTTACCTATGGCTAAAAATATTACTGATTTATGTTTCCAAATAAGTTTTTTATGGAACATTAATAAAACAAGCCATAACTTATTTATGACCATGTTTTGACATTAAATACTCTTCTGTGTAACGTTTTCAGCTGATACAAATATTAAACAAGTGCATCATAATATTAGCGTAGTCTTCTATAAACACACGATTATACTTAAAAATTCGATCAATCAAGTCCGCAACTTCAACATTCCGGATAAAATCCAATATTGCTTATATATTTTGATAGGTTCAGATTAGAGTTTCTTATATGGCTTCAGATTTTTGTGTGGAGGGCCTTAGTTCCACTTTATTTATCCTAAAATGAAAATAGTGCTTCTTTGAGGTATACTTTTATCAGTAAAGTATAATAGGAAATGATTAAGTTTTAATAAAATGTCTAATAAATACAGTTCTTACAGTGCATACAGTTCGTTACCTAGATCTTCTTGATAGTCTCACTTTGAACTTGCCAGTTATAGGTTTTTCATTAGTTACAATTTTTTTTCTAAAAATACCTGGGACGTGAGTTTTCAGTTGCGGTGTTTCAAGTCTATTTTTTGCCTAATTTTAATTTCTACCCTAATAAATACATTTTCTGTCTAATTTTCTTTTCGTTAATTTTTTCGATATATACAGGGTGGCGCACCCCATTCGTCTCGGTTGATTATACGAAAACGGAAAGATGTAGAAACAAAATATTTTATGGGTATATGTGAGGTCGCAATGTGCACAATTTAAAATTATTTTGAAGTCTCAGAACTAAGATTTTTACCAAAGTTATATTTTTTCTTATGGAACACCCGGTATTTTATTTCATTTTTGGATTTTTGGGCCCAAAAAAAGGCATTTATTAAAGGGGTTAAATATGTTTAAAATCAATGGTTTTTGAGATATTTAAAGATATTTAAATATGCATGCTACAAGAGTCTAAGTCTGTTGATAATTAATTATCAACACCCTGTACATTACTTTTCAGAATTAATTCTAGTGCTGAGTTTAAAGGTAAAGAAATAAACTTTACTGAAAAATGTTATTGTTTCCTTAAATTTATACAGGGGTACCAAAAATTAGTGGTCTATTTTACGAATTTATTTTACATAAAAACTTTGTTATTTCAAATGCAACACCCTGTATTTTTTTAAATAAATTGAAGCAGATTCAAATGCTCTTTCAAACTATATTAGAGTTTCCTATACCTATCTATCTCAGATTTTAAATAAAAAGCGATTTTTAAATAAAATGGCAATCAAGATGGCTGGTATCGCCATGGCAATTTTCAGGCAGTGACAGTTAGTAACTATTTTCAAAATCGACATTAGTGTATGGACATTATTATTTAAACAGTTTACTAAAATTTACCCACAATATTTTAATAAGTAAGTATTCTTTATTTTATGAAGAAAAATAAAGTCATATATGTATCTGCTGGTGGAACGAATGGATATGTTACTAGTTACTAGTGATTTTGTTTTGTGAGGAAAATTATTTCTTGGCCTCAAGAGCGATTCCAAATAGGAATCTTCCTGATAAGCTTTCCTTTGAAAAATTACTTGTCCTCTTTCCTATTTCGCAGAATTGGTAGTGTAGTTTATAAAAAAAACCTATTAGGCAGAAACCTTGGTTGGAAGTGAAGAAATTGAATTTGCCGTAATTGACTCTTTTATAAAAAAATCATATATCTACAAGTTATCGTAAAATAAAACAAAGAACTACTTCTTCGTTTTTCTTGATAGAATAATAAATACATATTAATAAATATTATTTATTAAACTACTGTAGGTCAATTAAATAAAAGTAAACTGGTATAGATTTAAATAAAGTCTATAAACTAATGTCGATTTTGAAAACAGTTACTCACTGTCACTAGAAAATTGCCATGGCGATACCAGCCATCTTGATTGCCATTTTATTTAAAAATCGCTTTTTATTCAAAATCTGAGATATATAGGTATAGGAAGCCCTAATAGTTTGAAAGAGTATTTAAATATGCCTCGATTTATTTAAAAAAATACAGGGTGTTGCATTTGAAATAACAAAGTTTTTATGTAAAATAAATCCTTAAAATAGATCACCAATTATTCGATGACACTTTACTTCATATACAAACTAAAATATATAGGAAACTGAAATGATACCGTCTGTTGGAGAATTCAGTGCCGCCATGCATCGGGTCGTTACACAACTTATGATACAATTTTATTTTATTTTACAGGAAACTTTAAATTTTAACTACAGGTAACTATATTGTTTTGTCCACTCTAGCGCCATCTATTATCAATTTTTTGGAACGTAATTTATTTTTTTGTACAGAAATAGATGATTTTTCTTCTATTTCCTATTTTTTAATAAGAATAAGTTACTCTAAATGCGACATCGCTCCATTATATCGTATTGTTCTCAAACAAGTGACGTTGCATTTAGAATTCACTGATCCTCATCAAAAAATATGAAATAGATATAAAAAAACAGCTATAGTTAATAAAATAAAAATAATTAACTGGATATGTTTAGTAATAATTATGAGTAATAACTTTATTAAAAAAAAGTAAATAATACAAATTATACAATAAATAAAACTTCTTCTTCAGACGAAGGCTCGCACGGCACTGCATACTTAACTTGTTCATATAAATACAATAATAATAATAATAAATCAATACCCCATCGCGTTAAATAATATAAAATACAACTAACAAACTTATTCGAAGTGCGGCGAAAAAACGTGAATTGGATCAATGGTATGTATAAAAATGCAGACCCACGGATTAAAGCGAAGTAATGCGAAGAATCAAAATACATGCAATTAATCCAATGACATTTGCGCCGCGCCGGCGCTTGGCAAAAGTTTAAAGCATGAAGCGCACTTGAGCGAAGCGCGCCGAAGCCGAAGTCATGCGAAGCACTGTTTTTCGCACGCGATGGATAATTAAAGTTGTTTTAAGCTGACCTTTTTAATTTTAGAATTATGCGTAGAGAAATATTATCTATGTGACGATTTGACAAAAATTCTAGACATTCATAACATTAATATAAAAATGCCTTTTATTCTGCATTTTTTCTCAATTTTTACGGTGTTGTCTCGTCTCAATTCATTATGATAATTTAAGGATTCTCAACATAACTCTTTGTAGCTCTGTATAATCATAATGAATGTTTCATCATACTTGATCTCAGTAATTAAACTGAATTCACAGGTTGTACTATTCCTTTGCTATGCTTGAGATCTGAAACAAATAAATATGTATAATTATGTGACACATCAAAAAAACCTCGAGTATAGTTTATAGGATGAAAAAATTAAAAGTTGATGCCGTCGAAGTGCTCTAAAATCTCAACAGTAATTGGCTATGAACGTTTTATCTTAGTCTTTAAGTTAACACAGGCATTATTTTTCATAAGAAATAATTATGGTGTTTATATGCCTTTTAAAAATAAGCAGGATTCAAAAACCATTGTTGATAAAGCAAATTTACATTTTTGAGTAGTATGCTCCACTTATTATATTTTTTAATTCTTACCTAACTTGGGTGTAAACAACTGCCTGGGTTAAATTCTTAAAAGAAGTCTTACAAGAGACATATCTTACCTCACTCACAAAAACTGCATCATCTGCACTCTGGAAGATTCCTGATTTGGGTTATCTGATCTTTTCTCTAAAATGATAGATACAATTTAAAAAATCTAAAACGATAATTTTAATAAACCAAATTCAGTTTGGATTCGTAATACATATTAATATTTTTAATAAACTTTGGAATATCTAATAATTGAATCACTCTCTGCCAAATTAAAGTAGCCAGTGCCATAACTTGTTCATTTACAGCTCAATTAAAATATTTTTTTGTTATAAAGTTGACATGATATATGATATTTTTTTTAAAAATAATGTTCATCTTCATTACTGAATATTTTGCAACTTTAATTTGGTCCACGGTGTAGGTACCTACCTTTTTCAGTTACTGCTTTTATCTCAGGTAACAGTACATGTCTAATACCAACGAGAGAGTGGTCCACCAACAAGTTCTACAACAAATGTTTGTCTTCAAATACAGGGTTTGTACCTGGATTGACATCACTGGACACCAAATTACCAGTAGGTTGATCATCTAAAAGATTATTTTAATTTTATTAGAACAAAATATCTGAAAACGTTCTTTATTTAACTAAATGCATATACTTACCCATATGAACTGGTGTATATAAAAACTCAGTTGGAAGAGAATTAATCTCTAAACCTCTTTTTATTCCAGGTACGATCTTGATTACAAAAATGTAAATCACAAACTCTATAAATCTTTTAAATATCTTGCTGTGTTATATTTTCCATTTTAAGGTTTCGCACTTAATATCACTCTTGAAATAATGTAGGATCGTTCTTCGAGAATGTATGTTTTTTGAAAAACAAATCCATGCATGCCGGCATCGGAATATCATACTTATGAAAGGGTTTACGGCCTGATTCCATCATTGGTTTTTAATAAAAAGTTTAAACAATCACTAAAATTTCAGTAAAACTTTTTTCGATTTTTGACGGTGCATATTATTTGATTAAAACTCACTTGATTTGATTTGAAAAACGCTAAAAGTCATAATATTTTTCAAGTATTTTTCCCTCAAGCGCGACCGGTGGTTCGTCACAGAACTAATAAATTTGTGTATAACTGGTTGCGGTGAAAAAGTCCTTTCAAAGATCTCAATTTCAGTTTCCCATATATTTTAGTTTGTATATGCTTTACTTTTTTAAAATATACATCTACAAAAACCGTTGACGTTCTGTTAAAATGACATTATATCAAGTTAAACTTCATGTTATATTTCATTATTAAAAAGCCTCTAGAGGCTATCGCTTCTTTCATTATAATTTTGGCGTTATTAAAATTTATTCTGTGCCCTGTGTTCCATGAATGCTGACAAATCTTAGATTTGTGAAAATCTCCCTTTCTTAAATAATCTTTATGTTCTTTAATTCGAACATTTAAGGGTCTAGATGTTTCACCAATGTAAAATTTACGCATTCGCATTTGCATGGTATTTTATATATTACATTTTTTGATTGTTGTTCTGTATTTTAATACAATCTAATAAAAATAAATGTATTGCTCATGCATCTGTAGATGTTAATAATGTATGGCAATCTTTGATTTTAAAGAACATAACATAAATAAACATAACATACATAAAAATTAAAAATATCATGCATTAAGTTTGAGTTTTTTTGGTTTTACCTTATTAAGTAATTGTTATCAGGTAGGTAGTTATTGGTATTTTGAAGTTTAACTTGACATTTTAACAGAACGTCAACGGTTTTTGAAGACGTTTTAAAAAACGTCTGTTTTAAAAAACTAAAGCGTTCTTGAATAGTTGAATTTAAATATTTTAAACAGTTTTTTTCTTTATTCTTTGCATTTTTTTTGCTTCCGACGACGGAAAGAGATAAACTTTCCGAAACGTTAAGCATTTTTTTGTTCGTTAGGCAAATTTTCATATCTGTAAGCCTAACTTCTGACAAGTAGTTTCCATTTAGATTAACGCAGAACAAAAAATAACTATTTTATTTTGTAGATTTTCTTGCAGTGACGAAATGATGAATCCGCCACTTTTGGTATAGACATTTTTTCTCACCTTTCTTTCCCTTTTTGTTTTGTAGGTATGTTCAGCAAACTGCCAACTCCCCCGTGGACATGAGGGTGGGAATTCACACGGGAGCTGTTTTGGCGGGTGTATTGGGTCAGCGCCAATGGCAATTCGACGTCTATTCGAAAGATGTCGAACTGGCCAATAAAATGGAGAGTAGCGGTATGGCTGGGTATGTACGTTACATCTCTACAGTAAATTCCTATTTATCAATATTAAAGATTATAGGATTACGGAACAATCAATCTTCTATATAGGGTGTAAAAAAATAGTGTACCAAACTTTAGTGAGTAATACTAGAGATAAAAAATAAAACAAAAAGTTCCTATGAACATAATATGTCCTATGAATGAATCCTAATTATATATTAGAGCAATTAAAAAGGTAGATAAAAATAATATAAATATTTTGTTTATTTTTAAGAACATTGGTAAAACATTTTCCTTGATATTTCGAAGTCTTACGTATTAGGGTAGAGGGTAGTTTTTGACAAATACTATATTGTTTTATTAGAAGTAATAATGGCACTTTTCGTGGTGAGGCGGTACGAGCCGACAGGTTGACAGCCGAGACATACAATCGAGGCACAGAAAGTCATTTTTACTCCGAATAGAACATGTTATTTTTTTTCAAACGCCACAAATAATTTTTAAACAATTTCAAACAATCCAAACAATATAAAAAGATTTGTAAAGTCATAAAAAAGTCATACATTGTATCTAATTATATATCGAGAAACTATGGCTTGGTTTGGTTTGGTTTGACACTTTAAATAATATATCTTCGTACTTTTATGCTTAGGCCTAAAAGGGCTTTAGTTTTATGCCTAGATGTTAAAATGACTTTTTTATATTGTCAATCACGTCGCAAAAATTAATAATTTTGTGACGTTTGAAAAAAAATATTTTTGCTTAAATTAAAAAAAAATATTTTTTCTGTTTTCTTTCTTATAAATGTAATATCCTTGTATATGAATTTTTAAAGTAGCTCAACCTAAGACGTTTATGGATGTAAAGCACCAGATGGCGGGGCGTATTTCACAGTCTTTTACTAGAGAAAAATATTTTTTGTTACTCTGAATTTTGAAGCGGCCAATAAAAACAGAGAAAATAAAAATCGATCATTTTCGTACTGTGCCAATTGGTTACTAATCGACCAGATACTTTTTGTCTATTAGATATGCTATAAAAGCTGGTAATTATACAATTCGACCATTGTAAATACCCGACAAATTCCGCAAGGCCGACGAGGTCGATGTTTTTCACTGTTAAGAAAAAAAAATGTTTGTTTAGATAATTTTCGAGATATTTTTTCTTTCTGCATGCACATTTTAAAAGTATTTTATATTCTTTGTCCGCTTGATCTATTATACTGGTCGCACGTATCGATGTTTTATTTCTTGTAGTTTTAAAACATTTTCTTGTAGTTTTAAAACATTTTCTTGTTTCTTTGTAGTTGTAATGTAAAATTAGATTAATTTATTAAGTTTGATTATAATGTTTAGTGTAGACTACCAGAAGAAATTTAGTAGTGTTTTTATATTTTATTTTGAAGTTAAGTAGTAGGTGAAGGGGTAATTTGGTTAATTTTTCTTTATGTTTGATTAATTAATAAGTTTGATAATTTGTTTAGTGTAGAATATAGAAAAGTAGTTTGTGTAGTGTTCTTGTAAGAGATTATATTCATTTATTTTGTAGTTGAGTAGAAGGTGAAGGTATTTGGGTATTTTTTTCTTTTTGTTTTTCTTCTAATAATTATTGTAGTAGTTCTTTTAAATATTGTAATAGATACATTATAATCTTCCTTCTACTTTTCTGGTAGTTGAATATACGAAAAAAATCTGATCAAATTTATTTTAAATGAAATTAATCTAGTCTTATTAATTAATCAAATTAAACTAGTCAAATAATATTAATTGCAATCAATTATTAAAAAATATTAATTATTTTGGAAAATAACTTTTGAAATGGAGTATTATTGATAAATTGTTTAAAACATTATTTGTGGCGTTTGAAAAAAATAGCATGTTCTATTCGGAGTAAAAATGACTTTTGTGCTTCGGCTGTATGTCAAACCTACAGTCTCGCCACGAAAAGTGTCATTTTTACTCCTAATAAAACAATATACTAGAAAGTTTTATGGTTTAACGGGCGTTGTGAGTTAAAACATAATGATATTTTCAGTTTTTATAATTTTTGATCGAAAATAAACAGCGATGGCTATGAAATGAAGATCGCTGTCATTTTATATGTAAATTTATGTGGGAAATGTCGTCGATCGTCATTTCCCTGCCAACTGAAGGCCGTTTTTTTTTTCATATGGTACAAAGTTAAAGCAAACTTGATTCTGACCATGTTTTACGCTAAGAAAGATTTATTTCGTGTAATAAAGATTTAAATGGTGTATTAAGTACATAATATTTATTTGAATGTCAAATAATATTATTGAAACAAGTGCCAAGTTTTATTTTTAATTAAGAAAAAAATTAATCAAGAATGTATAAACGTTTTGTTTTCAAAAAAAAATTATCTTAAATTCGTAAAACCTCAATTTAGAATAAAATGATCGAAGAATGAAATAAAATTTTATAGCCCTGGGTCAAATCGAAATAAAGTAAGTGTATGTAACTTTTTTTAAATATTTATAATTACCAGTAATTAGCATTAATGTACCAACATATTGAAAATTGTTATTTCTTTGTTAAATACCGTTTAGAATCCTTAAAACAACAGCAAAAATAATCGAAAATCGACAATGAAATAATAGTTTTGTTTAAATTTCTTAATCAGCTGAGCCCTATTATAGTTCGCAAAAATCCGAGCTATATTATTACATTACTCTGAGGGAAATACCGCTAATAATCGATATTTTTGACTCCGCCCCTAATCACATGCTTCATTCCTTTAAAGCTTTACGATTTGTTCACCAGAGGCAGCACATTTTATCGAGAGGTTGACCAACTTTAAGAATATATAAACAAGGGTAATATGCTACCTATGTTGTCATATTATCGAGATACCTATTATGATTTTTAAGTAAAAATTAAAAAAAAAAATACCATTTTCTTTTTCGTAAAAAAACTCAGGCCTGTTTCTGACGTCGAAATATGCCACTTCAAAAAATATTTACATCTATTTAAGACACCCTGTATATTTCTTGGATCCCTCTCTCTTTTTATTAAAAAGAAATTTCGTGGTATTGTAGTATTAAAGGCAAGATCCGTTCTCGATAAGAAATTCAATTTCGAATGGAAAGGACATATTTTATACATCCAAACTGAATGTAAACTGCATCCCATACAAGTCAGGACGTATCGATATTTTCACTTAAATTTCTGAGAAGGAAAATTCAATTCTTTGCCTCCGTTTCTTGAAAACGTGAGCGCATCCGAACGCTCTTCAAACATTTTATTGCATCTAAAACCAGAGAATTGTCTTGTTGCCAATCAAGTAATATATAGTAAATTTTCTTCATTGACAAGAGAATAATGTTTACAGTCATTATTTGCTGTTTATATAAACTTTATTTTCTGAAATGTAAAGAAACGACTACCCATATCATTTCGCCTGTCAAGATTATATGTTTACAAATTATATTATAAATATAATTTGTAAACACGCAACACTAATATGAAAATAGTATCGCATGGTATAGTCTGTGAAACGAATAACTTTGAATTTGACAGTTCCCTCGGACTTTTCTAGTGTTAATTTTATTAGGTTAGCAACTTGCAGCCATGCTGATGCAATACCGTCTCTAATAGAACAGCCTCGGAGCGAGGTTTATGACGTCACTCCAGTTAGATACTACGGATTAATTATGTTGTAGAATACATGGAAAACATAATTATTCCTCGTATATGTAATTTTTTTGGATTATATTCGACACTATTTTTTTCATATGACACAACACTGATGAAGGCTATAAACGTTAGCTATAACCTTTTTTTTAAACCAAAAAAAAATAATGAAAAACCAAATGAAAACTTAATCAGCGTTTTTCCCGAACCTAAATCCGAAGAAAATCAAAAATTTTAGAATAATTTTACTGACGCCTTTTTTTCTATGATATTGTATTATTTGCAAATATAATTTTTCGAACATTGATGCTTGCAAAATATACATATAAATTTTGTGAATGCAAATAATAATACATCACTATTAGTAGATATTGAATGTTTTTTGTTGAATTAGATCGATTTTCAAACTCATAAAAAACTCAAACATAATTTAAAATATATTTTACATTTTACCCATTATCTATTCATTATTTGTATATTGTAAAACATTTGATGCATTTGTATGGTTCATAGTTTATTTGCCAAAGTATTTATTACTATAAATAGGTATATATATATATATATATATATATATATATATATATATATATATATATATATATATATATATATATATTGTATTTATTAACTGTATATTATGTATATTTCATGTAAACTATATCATTTTTAAAATACAAACCAAAAATACGAGGAAGAATTATGTTTTCCGTGTATTCTACAACATATTTATTAATCCGTGGTATCTAACTAGCGTGACGTCATAAATCTCGCTCCGAGGCTGTTCTATTAGGGTCGGCATTGGTCTGATATTTAGAAATTTCAAAGGCTGATGACATTTTACTTTTGTCAATTATGACATTTTGCGTTGATTTTTGCAAGAAGAGGAAGAACTGTCACCTGTTTTATTATTTTCCTTTTCTATTTCACGAAAGTAAAAAGAGTTACCTATCTGATTCGTTCAGGCACTCATTTTAAAGAATATCAGTAACATTTTGGATAGAGGGCTTTTATATTTGCCATGTTGGTAAAAAATAACGGTCAAAATTCAAAGTTATTCATTTTATAGACTATAATAATCATAAAATATCTTTTAAAAAAATCTTCTCTAAGAAAAAATCTCTATCTAGGAGGGTCCATATTTCCGCTACCACATTATCATTCCTGAATGGAGAATTCGAAGTGGAACCGGCATTCGGTGAAAAAAGAGATGAAACGCTGAGAATCGCCGGATTGAAGACCTATTTCATCGGGAAGGTGCTCAAACCGGTAAGGAAATCAATTAAAGGCTCTAGATTAGAGTTTCGAGTGGCCAAGCGAGCAGGGGCGGATAGAGGCATTTTTTTTTGGGGAGGCCCAAATAAAAAGTAATGAAGAATATGCTTTTTAGGGTGCCATTTTTAACCAAAAAGGCTCATATATATCATTTTTTATATATTTACCCCCCCTGTATAAGAGATATTTGCGAAAAACGGGTTCTACAGTATATCTCCGGATTGTTTTTACCACAGGAAAGACTTTTTTATTATTGACATTTTTAGAAAAATGCTTCTTTCATAAAAAATTTTGCTTATTCTAAAATAGTTAATCCCGTTTATATATACAGGGTGTTTCAAAACAAATGCGAAAAACTTTAAGGGATGATTCCTTGTTCAAAATAAAGGGTAGTTTTCTTTACAAACGTTGGGTCAAAAGTCAACCATTAGGGAGATATCGCGGTACAAAGATGGCGGAAAAGTAATGTTTTTATTTTTTATCTTGAAAACGAAAAGAGATAGACTAATGAAATTTTATGGAAGCATTACTGTTATGAAAACACACTTTCTGGTAATTTTTCACTTTTTAAAATGAGTGGAAAGGGTTGAAATAAACTACCCCTATCATTCTTGTTAACGAAATTTAAAGAAAAAATCTTATCAAACACATGCAAATGCTTTAATTTGATAGTTTAGTTTGTTAAGAAACTTTTACCTCTTGTGTTTTTTGATAAAACTCACCGATTGGAAATTAAAAAATAAAATGTAAAGCATTACATGTCAGGACAAAAAACATTTTTAGATTAAGAATCTAGTGATAATAACGATAATAATAATCATCTAGATAATAACGTATTGCAGTAGAGTAATGTCAATTAAAATAATATTAGAACATCCTAAAAGTAACAGCGGCGGACTAGATTTTTTCCTAAAAATTACAGCAGCCCACTAGATTCTTTATCAGAAAATGTTTTTTTTCCTGACATGTAATGCTTTACATTTTATTTTTTAATTTCAAATCGGTGAGTTTTATCAAAAAAATACAAAAGATAAAAAAGTTTCTAAACAAACTAAACTATCCAAATTAATTTTCTTGCATGTGTTTGATAAGATTTTTCTTTAAATTTCGTTAACAAGAATGATATTGATTAATGATTGTTTTATTTTCGAGTGGTATGCCCATTCCACTACATTTTCGTCTCCATTGGTCCAATGCTGCATCTAAGTAAATATTGAATAAAATTGGAGATAGACCACATCCTTGTCGGAGGCCCTTACTAATATTAAATGATGTTGTGAGTTCGGCTCCAATTTTAACTCGTGCTAGCGGGTTCTTGTAGGTTTTCTTTATTGCTTTTATTAGGGTAATATTTATTGGTGACCGGTCGAGTACGCGAAAAAGTTGTTTTATTGGGATAGAATCATACGCTTTGGTTAGGTCTACTCCCGTTTATACTTTTCCATACCGTTTTAAGAGAAAATTTAAAAAAAATGAAAATATGGTTGAATAGTCCTAAAAATGAAAAGTCGTTTCTATGATAATATAATTCCGATTGCATTCTTTGATAAATGGTTATTATTAACTTTGATTAAAGTCATATTTTTTGCTCTTGTTGAAGTATCACATTTTCAGATAACTTTTATCACCGTAGCATTAAATCGTATCCGCAGCATTAAACTAAATAAATTTTGTGCTTTTTAAATATTTTAAAACAGCAAAAAATATGACGTTTAAAAATTAAAATTCAATCAGTTACAATAGGTCTATTCGTTTTCCTGTTATTATCGATTCTGAATCGTCCTAGAACTCTCCAGCGCATGCGCAAATGAAATAATGTCTTCATATTTCCTTCTGCGCATACGCATCACAATTCTAGGACGGTTCAGAATCGGTAATAACAGGAAAACGAAAAAAAGCTAATGTATGAATGAAAACGAAATTTTATTACCATAGAAACACGTTTTGATTTTTAGGACTCTATTTTCATATTTTTCTTAATTTTCTCTAAAACGGTATGAAAATTTGGAAAAGTATAAACGGGATTAACCATTTTAGAACACGCAAAAATTTATGTGAAGAATGCATTTTTCTCAAAATGCCAATAATAAAAAATCCTATTGTAAAGGCAATCCGGGGATACATACTGCAAAAAAAAGTAATTGAAAATCGTTTTTCTAAAAAAATTATTTAGTTTTTTAGTGGTATTGTAGAAATATTTCTAAAGGCGGATTGTGACGACTCGTGTACTTGGCAAGTACGTCTATATTTTCGTACCCCCAGCAAGAATACTATCTTTGTAAACAATTTTTTTTGCAACAAGCTCGGCGCTTACGCGCCTTGGCGAGTGACAAATGATTGTGCAAAGAAAGCGCTTATACGACATGGCAAGTATATGAATAACCAATATTTGTACAAGTACACGAGTCGTGAGAATCCGTCTTAATAGGAAGTCTTAGTAAACTAATCGCGAATTCAAAAAATTGAGTATAAAAATTTTCCACAAACTCAACACACAAATTTTGCTCACCAATAGGCAGTTTCTACAACGTAATGTTTCGAAATGTAAAAAAATCCGATTACTTTTAAAGATATTTAGGATTTTTTTTTGGATTTTGTATTTATTTTCTTTAAATTTATTTGGAAGGAAATGACACAACAACAAACTAATCATTTTTATTTTTACTTTATGTTTCCACCACTGAATCTATTTTTTTCTAAACTAAAACTTCACGCAATTTTACAAATACTTATTTGTTTTTAAAAAATTGAGGAAAAAATGAAGCTGAACATAACCCAGCATTAAAAAAAACAAGTGATAAATGTTTGAGTAATTAAACAAACGTTTATGTTATGTTAAGTTCGTGTTCAGGTGTCCCAAATGTAAACAAATGCCCTTTTTTAATGCTGGTATGTTCCAGTTTAATCCGTTCCTGTTTTACCTCAGTTTACATTTAGTTTAACGAGGTTTTTATGTTTTTAAACCTCGATTTTTAATTATATCATTTAAAAAAACAACGTTTCAGATTATAGGGTGAATGAGAGTTTAATTGTGTGCATTGAATTGAAAGCTGATAATTCCCAACATACAGGGTGGCCCATCGAAAACGTTCCGCAAGGCATAACGGCCAGGGTAATTTTTTTTTCAGAACATTCAAAAACACGTCAATTTTGTTTGTGAGGGGGACAACTTTTGCCCCAAAAATCATTGCAAAATCTTCAACCCTTTAAGCGGGGGTGTTATCCCCCAATTTTTTTCAAATGGGAAGGGGGGTCAAGTGGTACCGCAATGAAAAGGGCTTTCTATTCTCTATACTTTCCCGCTTCATTTTTGAAAATCGGTCGAGTCATTCAGAAAATATGAAGGATTGAAATTTGAAAAGTTTATTTAAACATTTATCAGCTGGAGTAAATGGTAAGGATAAATTCCTTCGACCAATTTGCTGTTTTTTCTTATTATTTCTAGATGTTTACGCATTTTTTCACTTGCCACAAGGTTGAACGATCAGGTGCGGTAGTTGCTAGATAGCTGTTCTGTGACTTATGCGTTGAAGTTCTTCTCAATATCATTAAACTTTTTAACAATTATGGTGTATTCACTTGCAGAAAAAGGAAATAATCGAACTTTATTTTAAAAATAATGAATGTGGCAATCGGGTTGCGCAGATATTCAATGAACGCCATCCTGACAATCACTTTTATGGCAAAATTGTTCGCGAGTTAGTAGCAAAATTTCGCGAAACTGGTTCCGTTATGAATAAAAAGAGGCAGAGGGAAAATCCTGTAGTAAATGAAGCTATGGAGGTATTCGTATTGGGCCAAGTTGCCATGGATAGTACGCTGAGTACAAGAAAATTAGCCAATGAGACCGGCGTGAATCGTACAAGTGTCCAAAGGATATTAAAAAACACAAGTTCCACCCGTACAAAATTCAGTTGGTATAAGAACTCAACGAAGACGATTTTGATCGTCGCTTACAATTTTGTGAAACTATGAGTGAACGAGTAGCGAATGATAATAATTTACTATTTAATGTGTGTTTTTCGGATGAGTATACTTTTTTTTGAACGGTTTAGTTAATCGGCACAACTGTCGGTATTGGGCTGAGGACAACCCCAGGGATTTTCACGAGGTGCACACACAAAACCCTCAGAAATTGAACGTGTGGGCTTGTATTTTTGGAAATTCTATTGTAGGTCAGTTTAACGATAGTGAGAAGAACTTCAACGCACAGAACAGCTATCAAGAAAAGAGCGAATTGCATATTGAAAAAATGCGTAAACATCTAGAAATAATAAGAAAAAACCTCAAATTGGTCGAAGGGATTTATCCTTATCATTTACTCTGATAAATGTTTAAATAAACTTTTCAAATTTCAATGCTTCATATTTTCTCAATGACTGGACCCATTTTCAAAAACGAGGCGGGGAAATATAGAGAATAGAAAGCTCTTTTCATTGCGGCGCCACTTGACCCCCATTCCCATTTTAAAAAAGTTAGGGGATGACACCTTCGCTTAGAGGGTTGAAGATTTTACAATCATTTTTGAGGCAAAAGTTGTCCCCCTCAGAAACAAAATTGACGTGTTTTTGGTTTTTTTGAGAAAAAAACTATACCCTAGCCGTTATGCGTTGCGGAACGTTTTCGATGGGCCACCCTGTATAAATTACTAGAATTTATGTCTATGAATATACAGGGTGGTCCGAATTGTATTCCAGAAACTTCAGCAGCATATTCTACAGATAAAAATAAATAAAAAAGGTCTATAAATGTATGTCCTAAAATGCTTAGTTTCGGAAATACAGGGTGTAGAAGTTTCATTTTCATTTTGATTTTTTTCAAATAATTTTGTAAGTAAATAAAGAAAAATAAAGTAGGAGCTATATTGAGATCAAAATCAAATTTCTCATGTCAAAAATCTTCCAGGCACCAATTTTCATCCAAATATTAACGGTACTTCATAAATTATTTGGAAAATTTGAAATAAAAATGAAACTTCTACACCCTGTATCTCCGAAACTAAGCATTTCAGAACAGACATTTATACGAACTTTTTTACTTATTTTCATCTACAGGGTGTGCTGCCGAAGTTTCCGGAATACAGTTACTGTATAAATGGGTTTAGCTGGGGTTTATGATTAATAACGATGAGATTTTTAAAGCATTTTTTATGAGTGTAACGACTACAACAAGAAAAAGTATTATTCGATTTTACAACTTTATAATTTTAAGTTAACATGTTCTTAGGGTTCAATACATCAGAAGAAAAAAATAGAATCCTGATAGGATCACTCTGTTGTCTGTCCGTCTGTCTGTCTGTGAGGATACTTTATCTCGGGAACGCGTGGATATATCGAGTTGAAATTAAAACCATATATTCAGGTCTACACTCCCTCAAAGCTGTGAAAAAGTCAAGTTAACGTTAAAAAAAGATAAAGCCGCTGATGCCGCAAAAACGTACGTTTCGACACTCTCAAGTAAATCAAAATTCATAGGGTATATTCCGTTGACCTAGAACTATAAAAGTTGGCAAGTAATAGAGTCTTATCCTACAAGTATAGAAAAAAATCTTAAAACTCTGTATTTTTAATTGAATCACGAAAAAGCAAGGTCGTTATGCAAGGAACGGCGATCTAAATTTTGAATTGATTTAACCGTGTCATCTGGGGTATCGCATGAAGGGGCTTTATTGACACATGCTTAAACAGATTTTTAATAATATTTATGATTTTTTTTCCGTATTAATTTCAAATATTAAAATAACTGAAATCATTAAATTTATTCTAGTTTAAAAGTTTTAATTAATTTTACTTTGACAATGGTCATTTAAAATAAAGTTTTTAGCTAAACGTGATACTATTGTGGTTTTCTATTTTAGTTTGAACCGCCACAAAAGGAAGTACAAAATGGGGAAACTACCATTGTCCCAGATGCAGATAGCTGTGTTATATCCGAACTTAGAACAATAATAGACGATAAAAATGTAAGACCATTTAATATATAATTTTAGAAATACCATTTACTATACTTTAATTAATATAAAAACAGTGTAAAAATTATATTTTAATTTGAAGTTTCCTCTACCTAAGATTTAACAGCTATAGTAATAATTATTCATTATTATTACGATATATTATGCACATGATTTTTAAAACACCCTGTACAAACTGTATTGGGTATTTTTTAGGGTACAGAAATTGTTAGATCAAGAGAAGATTCGGCAGAGTTTAAATCAAGGTTAAGAAAAGAATTGGTAAGCCGTGATGGCCATATGTGAGTAATTTTATCATAATTTATGATATTATGATACACATATTATCTCTTTTTAAAATATATTATTTTAATACTACTTTTAATAATATTTTTGCATTTTTTTAGGGAACTAGCAAAAAATACCACATTTATTACCTTATCTTTTACGGACCCCCAAAAGGAAAAATCCTATTACAGACATATAGAGAGCTCTTCAAGTTTCATATTGATGATGTTTATAGTCGTTAGATTAGGAATAGGAATATGTGTTCTAGTAATTCTACCAAGGTAAAATCGTAGTTTTTAAGCATAGATGACTACTTTTTGATTTATTTTAGTGGCTTGTCCATAGATGTGACTTATCTTACAGAAAATGGATTGTTTTTTATGTTAGTAATAATGGCTATAATAGAAGAATTTCCAGGAGTTGTAAGTTTATTTCATACATTAAATTATATTTTATTAGTTCAAAATCTATATAATATATCATTTATTTTTTAGTCTAACTGCTGTAAAGCTTACAAAGAATCGATGATAGTGAGAATGATATTAGCCACACTTTGCGTATTAACACTTGGAGTGATAAATAGTCTAGACACTGTAAGTTCTTTTTCTTTCTATAATTTTTGGTTAACATGATTATGTATATCTTCAAAAAATCCTGTATGGGTATTTCGCCACTGAAAGAAAATCTACAAAATAAAATAGTAATTTTTTGTAAACACTGCTGCGTTAATCCAACGAAAACTACTTGCTAGCAGTTAAGTTTACAGATAAACAAATTTGCCTAACGAACAACATTTGCCTTTTTCTAATTATGTCAATAATATTTTTTTTTAAACAAAATACGATAAGCGGAAAAGGGGACCAAAAAACCCTACATATATGCTTATTCTCTGCATTAAGTTCATCAGACCGAAGGGAACAGCCATTCGACGACCGGTTTCGGAGATTTATCTCCATCGGCCGCTGGTTTTAATTTTGGCGGTAAGATCTGTGATTGTCACAGCTGCCGCTAGATGGCGTAGAGCGTCTAGGACTCGCCATAGTAGTACGTTTTGTGCTCAAATGGTATTCTCTGCTTTTCGTTGGTCAGATCGAGGATTACAGCAAAGTCGGCCTGACGATGGAGATAAATCTCCGAAACCGGTCGTCGAATGGCTGTTCCCTTCGGTCTGATGAACTTAATGCAGAGAATAAGCATATATGTAGGGTTTTTTGGTCCCTTTTTCCGCTTCTCGTATTTTGTTTATTTATATATACCCTACCAAAGCCTTCTTATCTCCATCTACAGTAACGTGGATGAAGCAAGCATGTTTGTCCAGTAGGCCGCTGGTTTTAATTTTGGCGGTACGATCTGTGACTGTCACAGCTGCCGCTAGATGGCGTAGAGCGTCTAGCACTCGCCATAGTAGTTTGTTTTGTACTCAAATGCTATTCTCTGCTTTTCGTTGGTCAGATCGAAGGTTACAGCAAAGTCGGCCTGACGATGTTGATAAATCTCCGAAACCGGTCGTCGAATGGCTGTTCCCTTCGGTCTGATGAACTTAATGCAGAGAATAAGCATATATGTAGAGTTTTTGGTCCATTTTTCCGCTTCTCGTATTTTGTTTATTTATATATATACCCTACCAAAGCCTTCTTAGCTCCATCTACGGTAACGTGGATGAAGTAAACATTTTTTTTTCTTTTGTAAAGAAAATCGCATTATAATTATTTTTTTCAAGAAAAAGACTAAACTAATTAGGCCATATTTTCTTTTCAAGATGTCTTGCATCGATCTTAAACCGCAGCCATCCAATTGCAGCATCGGCAGCAACGAGTTTGACATAAACGCCTTCTGTCTCTACCCCTCCTACTTCAGCTACTTTGCCGTTTTGATTTTAATAGCTTCGTCGCTCCCGGCATGTCTGCCATATCTCTGGAAAACGTTCCTGATGATAGCGGTGACCGCTGGCCAGTGCGGGGTCAACGTGTTTCTGGCAGGAAATAGTTTGGATTGCGAAGAGTTGAGGCAACACTGGACGAGGTACGTTAAGAGGTTAATGATATTATACTAAATAGATTTTTGACAAAATTCATATTATTATAATGCAAATACCATTCCAGCTACACTATTTAAAACTGAAGGACGGCTAGATCGACTTTATTGATAGTTAGTTGTAGAATGTGTTTAGACCTTAAAGATCTATTGTGTTCCCATTCCTTGAGTTATAACTCATCATACAGTCTCAGGGCTTTGAAAAAAGTTGGCAAAAGTTAAAAGTTAGTTAACTTTTTCTACTAAATGAAAATAGCTACTACTAACTTTGACGTTGTGAATACTTTTAGTGAAATTAGCAAAACAAATGTCAATTGAAACTAGTAATTTATTCCATTAATTTTGAGGTTCTGAATGAATATGAAAATTAAAGAAATATGTATTTTTTAACTTTATTAATAATTATTATCAGCACAGATTATACTTTGTTTTTTCTTTATTGTTTTTCGTGGTTCCGATTTTCGGAATCGGGCACTAGTTAGGTTACTAGTTTGCGCACATAGCACGCCCACTTATGGCCTCTAAAATTGTGCACAGCGCCTGACCGGCACAGTTATTAGAGAGATATCGGAAGACCGAATAGCGTCATGCAGGATTTACGCGTACCTTATCATGGTTACGATATGCGTGAGTCAATTTTTAACGCAACACCCGCTAACGTTACCGCCTGACGTAATTTGTGGATAAATTACACCAAGCGCTATTTCTAAATAACGTTTAAAAATTGCTTAAATGGGCATGTGCGGGTATTTGACAACCGGGGCCGGCCAGCGAGATCTTTTATTTTAGGTTATGTTTAATTGTTTTGAATTATTACTTTAGTTTTATTAGGTAATTTGATATTTAAGTAGCTGGGATTAGTTTTAATTAAATAAATATGGCGCAAAATATGAATTCCACCTTTTCCAATATTAAAGAACCTATAAAGAGGCTTAGGTTTACAGCAAATGACGACTTAGCCCTTCTAAGAGAATTTGTTGCTTGTTCCCTAAACCCACTGGTAGACGTTGAACAATAAAGCACTGGAAATAAGCACTTTAGCCCTTTAGTTTTAAAATACCTAGTAAACAAAACAATTTCAAAGTTTTAAATTCAAAGACTAAGCGGACGCGACGCGAACAGAATTCTTTCCGATCCGATAACTACTATAAATGAAGAGAGTTTATACCACCTCACGTAAAGGAAATAACACCTGGCCTTATTAACGTCCATGCACGCTATTTGGTTTAGCGATATCTCTCTATTACGCTGTTTATTGTTATTTTACGCGAGTTTATTTTTGCGCACAAGAAATTTTACTCGTTTGCACATCGTCATAAAAAACAATTTTCGTACCACGAATTAGGAATAAGATTTTTATCTGTATACTTATAGTATACCTAATCTGTGTTATTAGCTTAACGAACACAAAATATATATTTTGCAAAATATCATCCTCAAAAATTGGCTTTATTATTAGATTACTGCGTAGAATACAAAATATTATTTTATTTGGATAAAATTTAAAATGAAATTATATTGTTACATATATTCCAAATAAATAGATTTATTTTCGAAGCATAGAATATTTTGAATATTTTTTATTTTTAATATAATTAATCTAAAATAAAAAGAAAAATGTTGAAAATAAATTTTTATTCAATAATAGTTGCTTGAAAGCATACAATTTTATGTTGTTCTACTATATATAGAAATCTAACATTAGCATTAGTTTTGATTATTCAGTAATGTTTGTACTTTGTAATTATTATGAAATCGATAGTTTAAATATAGACTGAATGTGCATTACATTAATGCTTAAATCGGAGTTTAATTTGAAATAGAATTCAAATATAAAGTTGCTATGAAAATTATTATTTTTATTTTATTCAGGATTAACTAGCTATAAAATTGAAAAACATATATTTTGTTTTCAAACGCTAAAGTATTAGTTTTCTCTACGTGATTGAAATACAAAAATGTAATTTTAACGTTTTTTAAGGTATAAAAATAAAATACTTTTACGCCCAAGCACAAATGTACATTATTTAACTGACATAAAGTGTTCAAACGAATTTCAAATTCAACGAGTACAAGGTATTATATTTAATTTTTTTTATATTATTTACAATGTTTCAAATTATTTAAAAAATAATTAGTGGAGTAAAAATTACCCTTTTGTATCTTGCCTGTAATGTAAAACCTACAGACTCATCAATGTACCAATGCGCGAAACTAAAATTATTGGCATGTAAAACTTTAGGAGTAATGTTGGTATAATTTTATTCTATAATATTAGTGGAGTGCTTTAAGCCCTTATGAGATACAAACCTCGGAATTCATTTACTGTGAACGAATTTTTATAAAACTTTTTGCGTTGTATTTTTAATAAGATATATACAAAGTTTACCTATTTAAATTCGTTGCTTTCACTTTAGTATTTAAATAAACACACACATATACAAATGCATACATAAAAGGATCCCATACAGCACATCAAATCACATTTACGATGTGTTTACATTATTAGATGTAGACACAGGGTGACACAATTCCGCCGATGTAAATATGATACGTTTACAAATTGTAGTTCAACACGTATGCACAAAGGTTAAACGTCCGCCTCACAATGTAGTCACAGTATAGCATTTACGTATACACAAAGTAAGGGATACACAGTGTGCCGTAGGATACACAGTGCTTGTGTATTACGTTTAAACTCTGTTTACACATTGCAGTTGTGACTACTGCTTGTATACGTTTGTATTTTCCTTCATATATACATCTTGTGCTAGATAAAACTACTCCTTATGAACGAATTTAGGAAATAATACAAATTTTGATGCCTAACTTTTCGTTCTTTTTAAGAAATATTTATTCAATGATACCAATTATATCTTTTTAGAACGAAAATTAGGAAGGCAAAACTTTGTATTTTCCAAAAGTATCTCGATCGTAAGTTCAAAAGAAGTAGCCTTAAAATTGTTCCATTTTTGTTTTGTATTAAATGTACCATTTTTTTTTCATAATATGGATTAAGTGGGTAAAAATAAAATTCTTATATTTCTTTATATCATGGAACGCAATAGCGCAAATCACACAATAATAATAATTATTTACACTGCAGAAACCAGAAGTAAGAAAACACTGTAAAAGAACAGAGTACCTAATATAACAACATACTAAAATAGTAAACACTGGTATATCGCCACGATTTGGTGGACCTCGTTTAGTAATTTTTTTCTCTTCTTTTCCCTCCAAGCAGTTGGTTTGTTAGCATACTCATTCATCGAGATTAACAATCTCAGATTGATAATCTCACCCTTAAATTTTATATGAAACTGATTATTGAATATTAAACATACCTGTATATTGATCCATCAATAACTTACCGAATATCAGTGTAAGAAGTTCTTTGAAGTGTATAAATCTTTCTTTCTCTGGTCCATTTAGATTTTAATTATTTCCAAATTAAAAAAAAATGTATTGCAGAACTAACCTCTTTATCATTATACGAAAATATTTGGAGTTTTCATTAATTGGAGTCAAAATTTGGTAAATTGGGTATCGAGTAAGGGAAGAGTCGCTGCTATAATATTAATAATACTCTTAGGAAGGTGTAACAAAGTAATTAAAAACTTGTGCTTACCTTAAAGTTTCTTCTAAACTACACACAAACAGAACATTTATATAGAGCTTCCGAATGATAAAACAATAATGGCTGGTAACACATACCACTCCTAGAAAGGAGAAAGGAGAGAGAACACATAAGTTACACTTGGTCGGTATATTTACGCTGAGGGTATCCGCGCGTGCGCACACCTTTATTTCATGCTAGAATGTAGACACAACAGTACACTATTACAAAGTGTCTATATAGAAATTTATATTATATGTATACGTCACATTTTTACAAGATGTGTACTATAGGCACAACTATGATACGAAGTATCACACATACATATGACATATACATTGTATGTCTCATATACCGACGTCAGATTTCATCATTTTAATAATTATTTGTTACGTTACAAAAAACTCTTTAGAATCTTGAGTGCATACGGTATACAACTAGTAAACACTGTATCACACAATTCTATCAATATAAATCTGCGTGTATCTCATATGTATATGTTAGAACTAGATGAACACTTAGGTTCACTTTAACATATGTTGTTTCTCATGTGTCCCTTGTAGAAACGTAATTTCATTTGGACGTGCTATATGGGATGGCTCCGTTTTCCGGAAAAGCTCTGTATCAGGATTTCTATTTGAGATTTTCACTCCAAACCTTTTACAAAATATATGTTTAATGGTAGTTCACATTTCAAAAATATTTTTATAGATATACAGGGTGAGTCAAATATATATCATTTATTTATTCGAGTTTAGTGAATTTGCTATAAAATTCTGGTTCCAAAAATACCTTAATACCATAGAGTATATTAAATGGTCTTTGAATTATGACCACGTCAATATAGACGTCCAGAAACCTTCCTATGAGAACTTCTAATCGAGACGATCGACTTATTGTAAGTTTTTCGCTAAGAAACCGCCGTTTGCCGCTTTTCAAATTGATAATGAATTGCACTTAAGAACCATACATATTAACTAACGGACTACAAGAAGAAGATTAAATGAAGCAAATCTTATATCAAGAAGACCTGCTTCGGAACTAGAACTTACTAGATGTGTCGACTAGGCCCGAAAGCAAAGGCATGGTCTTAATGTAAAAATTACGAAAAGTGTTAGTGCCTTCTTTAGAACCGAATATTTCCAAGAAAAATAAAGCTAATGAGATGAACCAAAAAACAAACCATCGAGAAAGAACGATCGAGATGATAAAATAATTTTTAAATTTCTTGCTGTTTTAACATATTTCACAGGGTGTTTCAAATTTTCATCAAAAATATCAACATTTTGTTTTTCCTCGTATAGTTAACAGATGGGGAGTTTCATTTTTAATTTAGAAAAAGATACTAAGAAGTCAAATAATTTGGAAACACACTGCTTAAAAAATCATCAAAATCGGCCCATTAAAATAAAATATATATTTATATTAATATATTAACTTCTTTAAAATACATCAAAATTTTAAGGTGCCCATTTTTCGTGCCGGCGAATGAAACAAACCTTTATTTTTTTACTAGAATCCGAAAATCAATTAACATATAGGGTGTTCCATTACAAAAAAAACATAACTTTGATGTGTAACTTTTTTTGGGGACACCCTGTAGAACTCTACATAATTTTAGAAAATACTTTAAATTGACTTACATAAGCTCAGAAAATTTCACTTCAATACAAACTTTTGTTCTCCTTGCAAAAACCGCGTCGTATATAACGCGCCACCCTGTATAATTCGATTTCAATCAAAATTTCAATGATTAGAATATAAGCAGAATAGGTATAACTTATGCAGTAGATCTATTTATTTCAATAAATTTACGTAAAAAAAGAATTAAAAAAATCAAAATATTAAGAAGGAAATAATTAAGAATTTACTAAAATTACTAAAATAAAAAATTAAAAGCAACGAAAAAAAATGGGTAAACATTTTAGTATTTTATCTATAAAACACAATACAGAAGGTTTCACACTAATACATTGACAGTAATAGAATTCCGAGGTAAAAGTCTCTGGGCACTCCACTATACAGGGTGTTTCAAAACAAATGCAAAAAACTTCATGGGGTGATTCCTTGTTCAAAATAAAGGGTAGTTTGCTTCATAAACGTTGGGTCAAAAGTCAATCATTAGGGAGATATCGCGGTACAAAGATGGCGGAAAAATAATGTTTTTATTTTTTATCTTGAAAACGAAAAGAGATAGATTAATAAAATTTTATGGAAGCATTACTGTAATGAAAACACACTTTCTGGTAATTTTTTCACTTTTTTAAAATGAGTGAAAGGGGTTGAAATAAACTACCCCTATCATTCTTGTTAACGAAATTTAAAGAAAAATCTTATCAAACATACAAAAAAATTAATTTGGAAAGTTTGTTTAGAAACTTTTTTATCTCTTGTATTTTTTTGATAAAACTCACCGATTTGAAATTAAGCAATAAAATGTAAAGCATTACATGTCAGGAAAAAAAACATTTTCTGATAAAGAATCTAGCGGGCTGCTGTAATTTTTTAGGAAAAAATCTAGTCGGCCGCTGTTACTTTTTAGGATGTTCCTAATATTATTTTATTTGACATTACTCTACTGCAATACGATATTATCTAGATGATTATTATTATCGTTATTATCACTAGATTCTTAATCTAAAAATGTTCTTTGTCCTGATATGTAATGCTTTACATTTTATTTTTTTAATCTCAAATCGGTGAGTTTTATGAAAAGAACACAAGAGATAAGAAAGTTTCTAAACAAACTAAACTATCTAAATTAAAGCATTTGCATGTGTTTGATAAGATTTTTCTTTAAATTTCGTTAACAAGAATCCTTCCACTCATTTTAAAAAAGTAAAAAAATTACCTGAAAGTGTGTTTTCATAACAGTAATGCTTCCATAAAATTTCATTAGTCTATCTCTTTTCGTTTTCAAGATAAAAAATAAAAACATTATTTTTCCGCCATCTTTGTACCGCGATATCTCCCTAATGGTTGACTTTTGACCCAACGCTTATAAAGCAAACTACCCTTTATTTTGAACAAGGAATCACCCCCTAAAGTTTTTCGCATTTGTTTTGAAACACCCTGTATATAGACATCTAACATTAGCATTAGTTTTGATTATTCAGTAATGTTTGTACTTTGTAATTATTATGAAATCGATAGTTTAAATATAGACTGAATGTGCATTACATTAATGCTTAAATCGTAGTTTAATTTGAAATAGAATTCAAATATAAAGTTGCTATGAAAATTATTATTTTTATTTTATTCAGGATTAACTAGCTATAAAATTGAAAAACATATATTTTGTTTTCAAACGCTAAAGTATTAGTTTTCTCTACGTGATTGAAATACAAAAATGTAATTTTAACGCGGTATAAAAATAAAATACTTTTACGCCCAACCTGACATAAAGTGTTCAAAGGAGAATGAATTTCAAATTCAACGAGTACAAGGTATTATATTTAATTTTTTTTATATAATTTACAATGTTTGAAATTGTTTAAAAAATAACTCGAAAAATAATTAGTGACGTTTGAAAAATAATTGTTCTATTCGGAGTAAAAATGACTCTTTTGTGCCTTGCCTGTAATGTAAAACATACAGACTCAACAATGTACTACTGCGCAAAACTAAAATTATTTAAAAATGTCATGTAAAACTTTAGGAGTAATGTTGGTATAATTGTATTCTATAATTCTATATATTTTTTTTAATTTTGCAGCATAGGTAGAGGAAAATATACTCTTTCTGGGCTTCTGTTAGCAGTCACTGCAGCTCTGGTGTTTGTAGCGCGCCATGTAAGTCGTTACACACATCTACACTTTATTTAATGCAGTGATTTAAATTATTTTTGTAGACAGAGCAAGTTGCTAGAGTACTATTCCTGTGGAGATCCCAAGTAGAAGAACAACGCGATTGTGCTAAAGACTTGAAGCGGCGAAACGAGGCACTAGTGTATAATATTTTACCTCCCCACGTAGCTGCGCATTTTATGGGAAACAGAAACAGAAATCACGACGAACTATACTCACAGAGTTATGAAGAAGTTGGAGTTTTGTTTGCATCAATGCCTAATTTTTCAGGTTAGGTTTATACTAAAATGTATATCTAATATGTTAGTAATTTATTTTTTTTTATTTTAGATTTTTATTCAGAAGAAACTGTAAATAATCAGGGTCTAGAATGCCTAAGGTTCCTGAATGAAGTGATATCTGATTTCGATGCGGTATGTATGAAATCTTATCTCCTAAAAATACCAATTTACTAATTTTAATATATTTTTTAACAGAGCAAGTCAAAACAAGGCCTTTATGTTTTTTAGATTAAACATTAAATATACAGTAACGGTAATTTATAAGGTTAAAGGTGAATTTTATGTTCCTATAAACCTCAAAGTATTCAGATTAGGCAGTTACAAGAGAGTCATAAAAATTTAAAAAATCAATTGCGACTATAACACTGCGTTTTCCATTTTTAAATGGCCTTAAAACACTCTGAATTAAACTCAAGAATTCTAATTCGATAAATAGTTTTATTAAGTCTTTTATTTTTTTTAATGATTTGCTACTTACTTACTGCCATTACTCGCTGACGAGTATTTGACACGCATCAGAAGATGGTTACGCAAGGCGTTTCCTTTTATGTGCTTTTCTTGACTGAAAAGTACCTATACGTGATGTTATCTCTCTTCCGCTCTCTGCACAGCAAAATAAAAACACTAAATCACCACAATACACCAAAACACTTTTACTTACACTTACACTGGACACTTTTTACTTATACTTACACTTACACTGGACACCGGTGGTACGGCACCCAAGTTTCGCTTCCATATAACATGATGGGGATTATTATGGCTCGGTACACTGCAAGTTTCGTTTTTGTACTCAAACATGATTGTAGAAGACACTGTCTTTTAATTTCCAGAATGATCTTGAGGCGCTGCTAATCCTGTACTGAATTTCAGAGGCAATATTGGCCTTTTCTGAAATCAAACTGCTGAGGTAATTGAATACCGCTACATATTCCAATAGTCCTTTTCTAGTTTTTATAGCATTGTTGTGATCTTCCGGGGGAGTGCACATGATTTTAGTTTTATCGATGTTCAACTTAAAGCCCAAAGCCTCGTATGCCCAGGTATATGTGTTCAGCATTTCTTGTAATTTCCATAACGTTTATGCAAGTAGAGTGCAGTCATCAGCGTATTGAAATTTTGTGATAAATTTTGTAGGTATTTTTGCCCTGAATCGTTTTATGTTGAACAGACCCCTGTCGTGTCTGTATGTTATGTCAATTCCTCTTTCCTGCAATTTGGTGTCCAATTTGGTGTCCACGCTAATCATAAATAGAGTGATATCTCGATTGGGACCTTATTAACAGGAATTAATATGGCTACACTTCCCACTACATTTTATAGATAACAACCATAAAACAATAGAGACCTTATACATAATTCTATAGGATACGATTTTTATGTCCTTTAAACTTCAGTAAATAACTTACGAATTAAATCTCTAGAATACACTCAACTGATTATTTTTCTGAATATTTTAATCAAAACAGAATAATAATTTTATTTAACATACTTGAGAGCGAGCTCAGTTAGGGACTATACATTTTTTATTGGTTTTAATATGTTTGCAGCTTTTAGAACTTCCACAGTACCAAGATATAATAAAAATCAAGACAATCGGCTCGACCTACATGGCTGCCAGTGGCCTAAATCCTACCAGACAAATTAAGGTAATGTTTATAATCATTAAATTAAATATCAAACTATTTTTTAAGAAAAATGCTAGTTCCGTGATTCAAAAATATATTTATAATTTTTATATAGTGATTAAATATGTCTGCACCCTAGAAACAAACTGTTATATCATAAAACATAGTTTTGAGAAAAACGAATTTAAAATTCTTTTTGGAAGTTGTTTACTAATTTGCTTGCTTCATCCACGTTACCGTAGATGGTGCTAAGAAGGCTTTGGTAGGGTATATATAAATAAACAAAATACGAGAAGCGGAAAAAGGGGCCAAAAAACCCTACATATATGCTTATTCTCTGCATTAAGTTCATCAGACCGAAGGTAACAGCCATTCGACGACCGGTTTCGGAGATTTATCTCCATCGTCAGGCCGACTCTGCTGTAACCCTCGATCTGACCAACGAAAAGCAGAGAATAGCATGTTTCCTAATTACTCGGTTATTTTTAAACCTATGATTGTAATATTTGGTATATGACTAACTTATGTTGAACTTAAATGAAATTTAAAACAGGTTTTTATATAAATTATATCAACATTTTTTAGTGACTCAAATATACCAATTTTGGACTTAACATACGTTGCTTCTAGGATAGAGATATAGTATTTCAGCTTTTAAAAATGAACCCCACTTGCTTTTTTGCATATAATAAAAGTTAAAAACAGCGAAATCTATTGTGTGCACTTTTCTTGAGTTAGTATAATGTCAGGGCTTTGACAAAATTATGGTAGGGATGATTGTCGCCTCGGCGCACTCAGTGATATTTCTCTATTTTCTCACAGAATCTGCATTCGCTGTTGTTTATTAGATACAATCTACTGAGGTGTTTATTGACAAAAGTGTCCTGTTAAAAACCCCGTGATAATCCGAAGATTGTTCTTACTTAAATCAAGGAAGTCCCATATGCGCATAGTAATATTGACTGTCAAATTAAAATAAAAATATACTTCTCTTATTTTTGTCTACATATTTTCATTTATGATACTTACTATTTATTTTCTTTTTAGCCTGACGATCCTATACAAGTTCGATGGGCACACTTAGCCCTGTTAGTTGAATTCGCCCTCGACCTAAAAAAGGCCCTACAAAGCATCAACGAACAATCATTCAATCATTTCGTGTTAAAGTTAGGAATAAACCACGGTCCAATCACAGCAGGCGTTATTGGAGCCCGTAAACCCCATTATGATATTTGGGGAAATACGGTTAATGTCGCTTCTAGAATGGAAAGTACGGGAAAAGCTGGTTGCATACAGGTACAAAAACATTTAACAAACTATTTGTTTTGTTGTTTATAATTAATAATAAATTGCGTGAACTTGAATTATATTAAGTTTAAATAAAATTCAATAAAATGGTTTCTTTAACCATAAAATTTGACATATTTTAAAATCATTTTTTAAATATATTTGATCACAATATCTAAAGTTATGATTGTTATATTCTTTTTATAAGTTATTTATTAAATGTACATTTTAAAACAGTTAACAAAAATGCCCAAAACTATTAAACCTTTGATTATACTAATAAAAATAGTGTATTTAAATGAATATTAATTTGCGCCAAAGTAATAAATCAATACCCTGACGCCTGCTTAAACCTCCACAAATTATCGATTTTGTATGTGACAGCGGAATGTTGTCATATTATTATAAAACTTCGAATTATGTGTGAGTGCAGTATTTCTTTTAATAATTTCTTAAATGTGTTTTTAAGTAGTTTTTAAATCAACGTTTACTTGCTCCAAAATAATAAATCAATACCCTGATCATAGATAAAAGAAAATAATCTACTATACCCCTTTGAATAAGAAGACTAAGGAAGGAGCATAATGCTATCCATGTATTCATGCATGGTGGGTGGAAAAAGCACTCTAGGGCCATAGATAAAAGAAAATAATCTACTATTAAGACAGACATGAAACTTAATAGTAAAATTTTGGGTCAAAGCGCCCCTCCGTGTTTTTAGTGGAGACTACGTTTAACCCAGCACCTTCGCCGTTTCTGCTGTAAATGTTTTTTATGTTTATATTTGAATTCAAAGGATTTGTTTTTAAAGTTACACTGATATATTAGTATATCAGAGTAACTTTAATAAAACATAAGAATATATATATTTTACAATTTATTTTTTTATTTATTTTACAAAGTTGAGTTTCAATGATCGTAAGTCGACTGGCTGTCTAATGAATAGACCGAGATTTATAGATTTTAAAGCAAACGAAAAAAAATCAAACAACGAATACATACCATATATTTTTCTTTTATCTTAGACCTTATCGTCTTTTGGAAACACGTACATTTTTGCAGTTTTGTTAGTTTCTTTGCAAGATGCAACACAACAAGAAAACACCATTTTTACAGTTAATAAATAATAAAACTATTTCTGACTATGATATTTAAAATTTAGGTAGATATTAAATTAAAAAACAAACGAGTATTTGCAAACGCAGGCCCAAATTCAATAAAAATCAAAATTTTTCCTGCGAAAATCAGGCTTTTTTCACTGAAAGTATTTTTTGACTTATCAGCAGTCATTGTCAAGTATATACTATAACAATATACAGGGTGTTTTCGAATTAGTCTAAAAAAATTATGGTGTGATTCCTCACGTGTTCTTAAAACAATTTTTATATAACCATTGGATCTAAAGTACTTCCTTTCTGATCTACAGGGTGTTAAAAATAAAAAAAATCGATTTTTTTGCTTAACATAAATGGGACACCACTGCTTTTTTAAAGAAAATATATTTTTTTCTTGGCTGGCTACCCCTTTTCAACAAAATTGATCTTTTGAGTTTCTCTTATTCATCAAACGGTTGTCGAGAAAAAAATAAATATACTTATTAAGAGCCCGCCTTAATTCGTTTTTATTTAACGATTTTTTATTTTTTAGATTAATTAGGAAACACCTTGTATATGCATATCACAGGCAACCAAATAAACTAGTAACCTCTAAAAATTATTTTTCCTACCACTAGCGACATACCGTGTTTTTAGTGTGTACTAAATTATTTTATCAAAATTTCACCGTATAAGTTTCCAGGCAATGCTCTAGGGCGGGGATCCTTGACAGTTCTGTTTGACGATTCATTTGACACATTTGAATTTGATTTGAAATTTTGTGGATTTGTCAGTCTTTACAGAGCTTATTTTATGTTACTTATTATTTATTCTACTACTGATAGTTGTATAAAGGTAGTAAATCTAGATGGAAATTGTGGCAGAACTTAAATTAACAGTGACACTATCGCGATTTATCCAAAAAAACTCTAAAATAGTTGGTTGTGTAGCGTGCGGTAGATCTCGGCAAAAATTGAGTGAAATAATGGAACAACTTTTCGCTAGTAAGTGACTATATAATATGCATACGTGTAGTAAACCGATCATTTATGAAATTCACTTAAATTAACTATATTATATATTTTTCTTGCATTTTAGCTTTTATTTATTACTTGTCAAAGATTAGATGTCAAAGAATTTAGATATGTTAATTTGGCTTACCTGCTTCAGTAGCGTATCGGATGTTTGTGTTAATAAATACTTATAAATTATCTATTTTTATTAGAATAATATATTTTTATAACAATTTTAATGACTACCAACATTTATTCACAACGTAAAATAAAACAACAAATTATTGAGTCTATCCCACGTCTACCCCACGGCTACCCTACATCATAGTTTTACATTTTTTAAATAAAATTAGAACGACACTGATAAACCGGAATTTAAGTCGGCCATATTTGAGGCCTATCGCGGTGTACCTAAGATTTTTAATATGCTCCTTCCTTAGTCTTCTTATTCAAAGACTATACCCTGACGCTTGCTAAGCCTCTACCATAGATGAAAGAAACAAGTTTAGATTGGAAAGTGCCCATAAGGACAATGTAAACACTATTTGGCGCTACCCTTACAAAGGTGGCTCTCCAAAGCATTTGATATTTTCAGAGTGGTTCGGCTTTTTCAGAAATTATGTCGCCAAATAGGTATTATTTATTCAAATTTATTATTTTCTTTTTCTTTATTATTGCATATAAGAAACTTTATTTTACATAAAGACATGTATGAGATGCCTATGAAACATTGGAAACCGACGTTATACCACGATCCACAATGGTTTTTGCAGTTCACAGTTTACACAGCTCTTTAAGTTTTTAATGCCACTTTTTCACAATTATCACGGATTTGAGTGAATAAAATAGTAATACAAGACATCAAGAATTACGTTGAAAATTGACGCTTAAACACTTTTCGGTATTTTTTCAATGAGGGCGGTATAAATTTTGAAAGATTTTATATTTTTGAAGATTCTGACTTTGATAAGAGAAAATTATTTCTGTTCTTGTTTGCGGTTGTTCTTAGCAACCGCTATACAAGCGCCCTACAACGTATGCGCTCCAAAACAATGGGCGCGTTCAGGGAACACAGCCGCTGACTTTCAGCTTAGAATTTCGCTGACCAGCATCTTACGATATTCCCTAAACGGCACAAAACAGCAGAAAGAACAAGAAACAGCTGTCTCATGCGCTCTCTGTCTACTATAAAAATTTGAGAGAAATATAAATAAATCGTCTTCGTCCAATCGGTCTACAATCGATCTTTAGTCTTTAGAATAAAAATTATTTTGAAAAAAGAATTATATTACTGGCTGATCATTTAATAATTGAAAATATATTATTTGACAATACAGTATTAAACATTAAGTTTCTAAAAAATAACAGTTTATAAATAAAGTAGTTTTTTTTAATTTCATTGTATTTACAAAATTCGACTTAAGATGAAAATCAAGTTGAATTTTATTTATTTCTTTAACTTCTTCGATCTATATTTACAACTGTCTTTCGAACGTTTTAGATTAACCTACTGCTGTTTACTGCTTTGTAACTTTTTTGACAACAAATATCTCCTATTTTTTAAGAATTCGATTAACTACGATTGACTACAAACTTCAACAAACCATAAAAAGTAAACAATAAATTGAGAAAATTAAAGTTATTTTACATTAGTTGACCACAGATAAGGAAATAGATTAAGGCTGACTTATCTCAGCCTAACTATTTACCGCTGAGAATTTTGCACAGCGGCTGACTGTTGCTGTTTGTCAGAATAGACCGTTTAGGGAAATCGCTTACTCAGCCACTCAGCCGCTGACCGTCCTTGAACGCGCCCAATTATAAGTTTTGGCGGCAGGCCGAGCATTTCAATCTAAACTTGTTTCCTATATCTATGGCCCTTACAAGCTATCGATTTTGTAGGTAACAGAGGAAACTTGCCAGATTCTCGAAGCTTTCAACTATCAGTTCGAACAGCGCGGCCTAGTGGCAGTCAAGGGAAAAGGCCAACTAATGACGTATTACCTACTGGGTAAAACAGGTAAAATCACGCCACCTACCGCTCCAATCTCGCCCGTCATGATAACAATGGACACTGTAAACGAAGAGGACGAATCGCACGGCAGCCTAACCTCGAAATCGGAAGAGAAAACATCGGAGAAAACTGTAATTGAATGCTCGGACAAGGCGGACGATGAAGTTTTTATACTAGAAACGGAAAATTCGGAATTGCAGGATAAGAAGGAGATTGAAATTAAGGATTCGAACGAGGCTACTTTGTTGTTGAGTTCTTGTGAGGATTGAATCGTTGAGAGATATAGAGAAAAGTTATTTTGTAAAGACTGATTACTTTGTTATTGTCTCAATTAAGTTTTTAACGGCTCTAATACTATTAGTCCAAGCGCCGGGTGCAAAAACGCGCAAGAGTTTTATGAAGGCTCATAATTTCAAAATCGATTGCATTTTAGTGTTAAAAAGCAAACAGTTTCAGTTCCGGGACACCTGGCGCTGAGAAGCGAACAAAGGTGGAATTAAGGTTAAAATTACACATTTGCGCCCCTTCCCAGGGACAGGTGTCCTGGAACTGGAACTGCTGACTGTACCTTTGCTTTTTAACACTAAAATGCAATCGATTTTGAAAATATGAGCCTTCAGAAAACTCTTGCATGTTTTTGCACCCGGCTCTTGGACTATATGTCTAAGATCGAAAAAAAACGGCGTCAAAGACGGCTGGTGATAATCTATGATAATTTTGGCGAGGTCGAGCCCTAGACGTTAACGTTACTTGGCCTGTACTCTTTTTAGTTTTTTAATGGCACTATGTACTGCCAATTGACATTAAAAAGGTTGTAATTTATTTTTATATTGAGAAAAAATGAGTTTTAAATAATAATGTAGTTTAAAATTCTACAAAAAATAATTTTTGAAATTATATTTGAGTGTCTGGAAACGTTCAACTTTTTTAATCAATATAATTAGTGTTAATTTTTGTCTATAATTTGTCAATAACGTCTAGATGTTGACCCCGTCAAAATTAGTCGATTTACATTCCCCAGGCGTCTTTGACGCGTTTTTTTTCGGTCATACGGTACTTTATATTACCTATTGTAGATTCCAACACCAAAGATTTTTTACTCTCTGTGACTCTAAAATATTATTTTATATACTCTTTACTATTTTATCAACAAGTACAGATATACGTGATATAACTTTTTGTTTTACAATGTATTTGTTTAGACGTGGTGTGCTAAACAGGGTGTCCCAATATTTCGTGGACCTACTATGTATTTTTGGAATCGAAATTAGTTAATTCCAGAAAATTTACTTCTATATAATAGTATTTTGTTTGTCCGTATCAAATTTAATAAACTTGAAACTTAATTAATTTAAAATTTATTTCAGCAGATGATTATAAACTAAAATACAATCTACAATTGGAGCGTTTATATACTCGCTCAGTGGGCACAAAGTGGGCGTGGCAAGATCTAGCCAACCGAGTCAGAACCCACCGAGCGTAACAGTTAGATTTCCGCCACTAGAGTAGTAGGAAAAAAGAACTTGAAGGAATTGGACCGTTGTCTCTGTTCATACTATCTTTACATTTATTAATTCTGATGATTTCTGAAAATTCGACTTTTCAAGTAGAGAAAGATACGTCAAAATATTTTTCAATACCGTTTGATAGACAGTGATCTAAAAGGAATTTTTAAGCAGGTCAATTATAAACTTGTGTATAGTGCTAATAATAAATTACAACAATTATTAGGTAATCGAAAGGATAAAACACCTCTACTGGAAAGGTCGGGTATTTATGAAATTTGTTGTAAAGATTGTAATCAGAAATATGTTGGGCAAACTAGAAGATCAATATTAACTAGATTTAAAAAACATTTAGCTCAGATAAGATATTGTAGACCGGATAAATCTTGCGTTGCCGAACATATTGTTGATAAAGAACATTGTATAGATCTTAATAACTTGAAATTAATTAAACAAGTCTCAAATTACAGGCAATTAGATGCGTATGAAAGCATCAGAATTAATAAATGTAAAGATAGTATGAACAGAGACAACGGTCCAATTCCTTCAAGTTCTTTGTTCCTACTACTCTAGTGGCGGAAATCTAAGTGTTACGCTCGATGGGTTCTGACTCGGTTGGCTAGATCTTGCCACGCCCACTTTGTGCCCACTGAGCGAGTATATAAACGCTCCAATTGTAGATTGTATTTTAGTTTATAATCATCTGCTGATGATGCTAACATGGTTAGCGAAACGCGCGTCCAGTGTAAAAGTAAAAGTGTTTTGGTGTATTGTGGTGATTCGGTGTTTTATTTTGCTGTGTAACACCAAAGGTTCCAACCCTCAACTGTAAGAATTCTTGTCTTGAAAATCAATTTCTTGTCTTACAGATTTCTTGAATGGCAAAGTATTGTCTTGTCTTGCAAGACTCTTGAAATTTCTTGCATATTAAAATCTTGTCTTGTCTTGAATTTCTTGCAAGAGTCTTTGTCTTTGTCAACACTATATTCAATCAACTTATTTTAATTCCAAAAATATGTATTTTGACACCCTGTATATTTGTGATATAAATACATAATTTTCAAAGTTATTAAAAAGATATCAGTAGGTACTAAACATTCCTAAAACTGTTCGTTCTTTAATATATTTTTGATTTATCAAATGTTTATAAATATTGTACATTAAAATAAAAAGTATATAATATTTTGATATATGAGTGATGTGTGCCAACAACAAGATGTAACATATTTTTGGGACCATGAATTCTTCAGCGAATTTAACACAATAAAATCAAAAAGTTATATCACACATATATTAATTTGGTACTATTAGATTTTTTTTGGGAAAGGGCATTGATATATAATTCTAAAAGTCAAAAAAAAAACTCAAGATATATCATCAAAATATTATGGAACAAGTAGGTTGTGAAATTATGTAATTTAAGTTTCTTGGTCCACTCTGTGAATATTTATATTTCTACTGAATGCTTCTAACTACGAGACTCAAACTATGGCGTGTATAAAAATATAATATAATAATTTTCTACTGCTTATTACATGTCAATATCACCTATAGACAAAAAAAATGAGGTAATTCTTTTTTTTTCAAAAAATCATAGTCTGATACCTTATGATCAAAAAAAAATTGTGTTAGAGACGGCTGGGGAATGACAATCGATAATAATTTTAGCGAGGTCAATCTCTAGACGTCATTTACTACAAATTTACATAAAACTTGCCAAAACTAAAACTAATTATAATAAGATTAAGAAGGATAGACACAACGCTACAGACATACAAATTTATTTCCAAGAAAAGGTCTTTCTTCTATTTTAAGAAACACCATTTACTTTTGACCTCACTATAATTGTTATCGATTATCATTCCTCAACCGTCTTCGACGACGATTTTTTTTCGATAATACGGTACTATTTTCATATTCATATATTAAAGATCGAATTGACATCATGGTAGCTGTTTTAAAATATTATTTTTACCAGTTATATTACATTTTTTTATAGTTGATATTGTGCATAAAAAAACGTGTTACATGAAACTGCAAACAGTAGGTTTTACAATCATACATCCTTCTGATAAATAATAATCCCAAGTAGCATTTGGACGTTATCTAACGTCGGGTATACGTCGCGTTCAATAAACCCGACGTCGGGTACCAACGTCGGTTCGACCGCCTGACGACCCTTATTTGCACCTAAATGGGGAATACAGATTCGGGTCGCCTCGACGTCGCTATCTGACCTAATAGGGAATGTAATTCTATCAATTACCAACGTCATATTACCTTGGATTTTAGTCACTTAAAATTCGTCGCTAAGCACTTACGTTACGTTTGGTATCATATTCGCTACCAAGAATACATAAAAACCTAACCAAACTACCTAATTACAAATGGATTCATAATCACTCCTCGAATATAACTATAAGTGCCTATTTAATTTCATATTTTAATAATTCGGAATCATTAATCCAGACATCAGTTTTGTCAACGGAAGTCACTTTCTTGATATATCTGATTAAAATACTCCGGAAAACAACGGGCGCCTTCAAAATTAGGTAGATTTATGAAATAAAAATATCTATAAAAAAGTAACTCGCAAAATATTTTTTTAATTTTCTAGCTGGTTTAATCATAAAACTGTACTGTGGTTCCCCCCAAACTCAACCTTATCAATATTATTCTACTAGAAATCGAAATGTGAATATAAATTTTAAAAACAAAAAACGATTTTAAAATGGCTGACAATCGGATACGTGTTAAGAATGGCGGATTTCTGTGTCCGACTTAATATGAACTACCAATATACCAATTTCGACCGGGTCTCCAACATTAGTCGTCTCACACGACCGAAGTCATCAAACCGGACAACCGGCAATCGTATTATGACGTATATAATTCCAACGTACGCCACGTAACCTCACTTTGCGTTTTGCGTATCAGTGATTTGTGGATTTGTGCAACTATATTATAGTTTTTGTTTTCTCGTTAAAAAAATGGGCAGCCACTTTTTTAAGCCTAACCTCACATGTCGGAGGAGGATGGGGTCTGCTGGTATCCTAAGCTAAAAAATGAAATTAAGATGCACCAGTGTAATGCAGCATTTCTTCCGGATAAAAAGCATTTACGGGTGGAGGCAAGACATCACTACTACCATTATTATTTTGCAAAAGCCTCGACCTCTTTCTGTCAATGTAATGTAGATGAATGTCTAAATGCCTTTTTAGTGTTTTTTTAGGCATAATAAAAAATTTAAGTTTGTTTACAAAAACTTTTTATTAGGTTATATTCATGATGTTCATTAGGTCGCAAATGCTACTTAATAGGTTGTATTTACGGACATAAATAGAGATACGTAAATTAGGTTATAACTATGAACATAAAATACAACAAAATATAATTGGACGTTAGTTTAGGGATTATCAGTGAGACGTATCCTATTCGGACAACGGGTAGACGTCGGGCTAGTTCAAGTATATGTACGTCGTGGAAGCCAACGTGGGAACGACGTTGGGAAATTAATAAAAATGGTACGTTGTTATTTTGTACGTCGACAGATCGTTGGATTTACCGACTCGGATCCAACGACGTCGCTTTTAATAGAAAAGCGACGTCACAGGTCGTATCACGAGCACCCGACCTAAATTTGCACAAAGTCTGACGTCGCTTCAGGTCAGATTTAGTTCGAAGCCAGATAGATGCTACTTGGGAATGGCTTTGTTATAAACTAGGTGTTAAATTTACATATCATTTGGATTTTTCGAAACTCTGTTAAATGATTAGACTAATAACGCGCAAAGCTGTACTACAGAACTTTTTAGACAATATAGCATATAATATGTAGTTGTTATCTCTTTTATAAAACATAGACTTATACAATCTGTTGATCTATTATGAAATTCCTCATTACAAACTCATTTTTGTTTACTTGTATTATTGTACAAAGTTTTTTTTAATATTTCTAATAAACACGCAACAAATGTGGTGGAATAACCAATTTTATAAATTTTTTTTCACAAAATAAAATTAAATGAATAGTATGTTGTACAAAAATGATTTTTTATTAGTAATTTTAATTTTTTACACTTTTTATCATTCCAACTTTATGTTTATTATTTTTCTTGTGTATAAAATTAAACTGTCATTAGTTTTGATAAACATAATCATTAAAAAATAAGTAGGACGTTATGTCTAGAACCTATACTTAGTAAGAAATAAACTATATCTGGTTTATTGGTATTTTTATTAATTATTCCTTAAAAATTTTTCTAAACACAATTAAAAAAGTAATAATAAAAAACAGGATAAGAAATAGAATATTTTATTTTTACAGTATTTTAAAGCTTATAGGAATAACAATGGTTACAAGAAGGTGTAAGTTACAATCATTACATCAGCGTAAAAAAATAGAGGACAATAGTACAAATATTAATAAATAACAAATATTAACAAGAAAATCTGATAGAGATAGGGTAGGTTTATTTATACAAATTTTTGCGCAAGATATATTTATTTTTTACATTATTTATGAGCCAAAGTTGGGAGATCTTATACAAGTCTTATACACGATAATCTCCATTGAGTTAAATACTGTTTGATCTTACAAATATATATTTATATTGATTAAATCTAAATATAATTTAAAGCATATATTCCTTTTAGAACTATCACAATGTATGGTCGAATTTGGACCATAGGCATTCTTTGTACACCTTATTAAGTTGTTTAGTAACACTAAAATAGCGTTTTTAGAAACGAATTTTAATCGAAATAATAAAAAAATAATATAAAAATTGTTTATAATAGACAGCTAACTGAGCTGACGAATCATTTAAAACGATATAAAGATATTTTTAGATATAAAAACGAGATTTGGTACCTATGTTAGTATATGATATTCAGTTGGTTTCGGTCACTTTCTGTTTCACCGGAAATGACTACAACTTTTAATTTTTAAATGACACCCTCGGTATTTTTTTACTTTATTCGATAGAAAATGTTACTCTGAATAGAATGACATATCATATGTCAACTTTTGACATTTTTGCTTAAAACAAAATTAGATTCTAGAAAAAATCTAGAATGTCTCTATGTCTGTGTTAAAAACCATAATTTATAATCAAGGAGCCTTGGAAAAATTAATTTGATCGTGTAATGTTTTTAGTGTCTTGTCTTGACCAGTTACAATATGCCCAAGTCGTATTTTTAAGTATATCTAATTTTTTTTTTATTTTTGAAATGGAATGGAATGGTGGTTCATTAGCATATTTGGAAAAAGATGTTTTTTACGAATAATTTGGTACCACATACTTGGTTTTTGGAGTTAAATTGTCGTTATGATCGCATGTTGAAATTTTAATAACCAAATAAACCATATTCGAAAATGTCAAAAGTTTTTTTCTCCCTCATACTATAAAATTTAATTTATCATAATATCTATTAAAAACACAGGCGCTATTATTAGTATTACTAATTGAAAAAACTCCGTCCCAAAGTTTATATTTTTAATACATCTGTATTCCTAGTTCACCGAATCTAACAACCAAAAACTCAATTAAGTCTTACAAAAAACCATTAACACCTCGACCGTCACTACTTGTGTTCCTCCCAATCACAAACCTGTTGTTTCTTGCTCCTCCGGGAGCCAGAAGTAACCCTCACGTCCTCACAAACTTGTACACCACCGCGAACACTAAAACGCTTACCAACACCAGCACCAGCACAGTGATCACTTTGGCGAAAGCGTTCAATCCACTATCACCAGTATCCAGAGGTGTGCTATTGTTGTTTTGCTGTGATCTCCTTCGTTTACCGGCCAGTCCTCGAGCCAGTGCTGGGAAGGCTAGGCTCTGAGTGAAGGTGAGTTTGTGCAGGCTCTCGCTGAGTGAGTATGGACCCACGCTGCCCCTAGCTGCGGCTCTGAGGAGGGCGTATTCGAGGTCAAGGGCATCGAAGAGGGAGTATCTAGTTGTCATGGTGGAGGAACGACGACGGCTGTCCGTGGAGTTGCTTGCCAGGGAGTTACCGGCAAGGGAGTTGCCTGCTACAACACCTAAGAACGGGAAAATATAAACTAATGAGCAGCTTCTAAAAAATAAAATATATTTTGCAGAAAAAACAATAACTTAAAGTTTGCAATTATGATTTTGGTGATTTTTTAAACAATTTGTAGCTAAATATTTTTTATTTCGCTTAAGGTCCTCTATCCGCCTGATATACGATGGAAAACAAAACGTTGTTGTTTTGGTAAAAGTTTGAATGACCTTGTTGAATGGTTAAAAAGAGTTTTTAAAACTACCTTATAATTAAGATGCGTCTCTCCAAGATAGTTTGTTTTTTGATTTATCTCAATAGTTTTATTTATGTTGGAGATATTCGCTTTTGTGGAAGACTGTACCAATTAATAACAATTTTAGCATCAAAGGCCTTTGTAGAATGTAGGATGTATTATTGGTATGTTTTATGTATATTTATAGGTATGTCGATGAGAAACAAAGCAGACACATGCTTTTAATGCTAAAATTGCTGTAACTACTGTGTTCTTTTGTGTAAAACATTCAGTTAATATTATGGTAAAAAGCTTTATGTAAAATATTAATTTGAAGTATACAAAAATAAGTTTAAAAAAGAGGCTTCAGAAAATTATTTATGTACTAAAAGTTTCAGAACGTTTCAAAGTAACCTAAAATTAATTTAAAAGCCAGATTAAATTTTAGGTTGATGTAGACCGATTGCTATAATTTGTGTATAAGTATAAGCAACCTTTTTTACATTGCGTATAGATTAAAAAAGTTTTTGAAGTTTTTTTTTCACAAAGATTAATTGAAATTGAGACAAACTGATTTAAAATAATCCGTAATTGGAAATTAAAAGAATAAATCAACAAAAACCCTTTTTTGGAAAAATGTTTAGCGACTATACAATCTAAAATGATGAGGAAGTGATTAAAATATTTTCAATTAAGTTATATTAGTTAAAATATATTGCATATATGTATGTGGTTGTTGATTAAAAATGATTAAATAAATCAAAAAGCAACTAACCTGAGATGAACTGATGATTAAGATACTCCCCAGCTTGCAAAAAAATATTCCAATAATACAATACTGCCTGTATATTAAAAGACACATTTTAACAATTTTCCACTCAACAAATATATACTAAAATGCCACCAATCATTACCTGCAGCCACCGATGTCAGTGATGACGTAGTAGAAGATGACGGTGACAGTACTGGATTATTTTGGTGATCGGAAATATCCTCTATGGAGGTCTGATCCGGCGATGACACTGGATACAGTCGGAAAAGTCTAGCATGGTCCGGATGGAGCAGGGTGCTGCTTGGTCTTCTGCCACTTGGAGTCGGTGAGGGTATTGGAGATGTTATGACAGGTGGAGGCAATGGAGACACCTAAAAGCAGTTTTTTGTCTCATTATATTATTATCATTAAAATGTTAAAAAGAAAAAAAATGATTATGTCTTATTACCACATAGAGACAATTTAAACAGGACAGGGCACCCGCTTTCCGATAAATTACCCAATCAAGTTAAGCGACATTAGAAGACGCGAGTAGATGGACGGGTAACCGTCTGGAAACTCTGGTGATAATACACTGCTGATTCCCGCCGGTTTTTGGCCGGAGGAGATCAGATATATCGTGAGTAAGAGTCGATTAAACTATTGACAATGATATGGCCGAAAACCACGGTTTGGATTCGGCGTAAATAATGGAGGTCTCGTCCAGATTAGCATTAACAACAAAAAGAAGATGTTAAATCAAATATTTTTAACTTCAAAAAGAACAAATTAATGAAAATATGTTTTTATTAAAACTACTTTTATTAAAATTAATTACTATTAAGCTACATTCAGAACCTCAAAATTAGTGGTTTCAATTAGAGTAGAAATTTGTTCCTTTAATTTCAATGGAATCATTCAGAACGCCAAAATTAGTGGTAGTCATTTCCAATTAGTAGAAAAAGTTAACAAACTTTTAACATTTCCACTAATTATACTTCAAAATTTGCGAGGAATGTCCCCAAGTAGCAAAAATACGTTGTTCAACGTAATCACAACGTCGCTAGGAGCAACCCAACGTTGTCGGACAACGTCGACGTGACGTCTAAGCGACCCATATTTGTACCATGGTGGATGAATGGTGGATGTTTTTAGTATCGCTACAACGTTACTTGAGGCGACGTAGTACGTCGTGTGCTAAATGTTGTTTTGCATGCCGATTCTCGATATTTTGAGGTTAGAGTTAAAAATATTCGTCAAATATTACTATATTCAACCATGGGGAAACCAAAACATTGATTTCGATTAACTTGGTGATGGCTGATGATGTATGAATTAGAAATGGGATATATTATGCTCCATTAAGAAATAACTAGGTGAATTTAACTTCGACAAATCTGCAAAGTTTTGAGATGTCGGAAATAGAAATCCATCAACCAAGATTAGTTTACTGTTGAAAGTGACCATGATACTTCGAAATATGGCAAAACTCCGTTTTATTTCTTAGTTTTAATTTTAAAATTATAGTTTACTTGGTTAACCTAATTTTTTTTAATTTTGAGACAAATATGCGAAATCTATCAGGAAAATTAGCTTACAACCCTAACAGATACAGTTTTTTAACGAAATTCGCAGTATTTTGTGGTTTCTGATATTTTTATTCGATTCGTCCACAACGTACGAAAAGATAAGTTGTATTAATTTTGGGCCATCTATGTCAACTTGGTCAACTCAACCAATTGTCAACCAATTGACACCTGCTTTGACGAAATAGGACCTCTGAACCCTACCCACATCTAGGAGGTAAATAAGAAAATTCCTTCTTACAGTGCTCTTTTTTACCTAGGAACAATAAAATAAAGAATAAAGCTGGGTCATACTATGGTGGTGGTGGTCACATACTCGTTAATAAGATCGCGGACATTAGATCAGTATTTCTATTTATTTATTGTTAAAAAAGCCATATATACATTTTATACAAATAGTTGTTGGTGTTTGAAGAATTGTTCGTGCATCAATCGGCAGCCCTTTTATACCACAAGATGATAATCCTTTTAAAAGCTGCTTTACAGCTGAATGGGATATATTATTTTTTACACTCCACTGACTTAAAAATTGTTTTTATTTTTGTCGAAAGGACGTCAGTATGAACTTCAGTAGTTGACTGCTCTTCTGGAGGATCATTATTCTTATAGTATTCCTCTATTGTATGGGCTTCAGGTGTACTGTTATTTATTTCTATAATATCCATTGATGATCAGCTACCATTAGTAGCACTATTACTTTTCAAAACTGAAGTGGACGTTCCTTCGATACATGATTGCGAGGATGTGGATGACGAACCTAAACTCGTTATTTCCACTTCATTTTTCGGACACTGACTTGCTCACTGACTTTCTTCTAAATACTTTTTCCTTTTTCTATAAAAAGTTGTAGAGTATTTATATACTTTTTTCCTATACATCTTCTTTGCGCTTTACACAGTAAGTACCACAGAAGAAATATCTAACCAATTGCTCTGTGACAGTACAGTAGAGAATTCGATATCGTCGCGCTCGTCGCCGTAACCCAACGTAGTGGTTATAATTTTGAAGTTGCTTTGGGTCGTTTAATGAAACGTTGTATTACGTTGTAGTTAGCTTGTACTTATACTCGTAATTTAAAAGTACGTTGCACAACGTTGTACTACGTTTGATATTCTGTAGTACAAGAACATGCCCTCTGGCGACGTAATGACAACGGTATAAAACCCAACTTCTAACAACGTTGTGTCCTACAACGTTTACCAACGTTGTTAAGGGTCAAAATATACAACTGTTAAAGTGCAATGTCGTAGCGACGTTTTGCCTACGTAATTTGAGGTTTGGGTATGCATAGGGTGGGGAAAAGTACCAATTTCAACGTTGCGCGTAGTCAAAACTAGTCGGAAGTCGGAATTTTGTTACTTGGGTCATTTTTGCCTTAGATTATCATCCGTCAAGAGAAATTGTGGTTAAAAATCAAAAGTTTATTGTTTTATAAGCTAAATATTAGGCTTTCTCTATGGATACGACTGACTACTGAAAGCTGAAAGCTGTTGCTAGAATATTCTATTAATTTTAATTGTGTTTTTTTAGACCTTTTGAATGATCGTAAACTGAAAAGTATAAAGTGTAATTGAAACCACTAATTTATTCCAATAATTGCGAGGTTCTGAATGAAGATATTTATTTTCAAACTTTATCCACATTTGTCATCTAAGTTTTTATTTTCCCAAAAAAAAATTGTGACTGCCAAGACCAACGACTGCCTATATCTGCCATATAATGATAGTCGAGTGTCATAAGACTGATGCCAACAACTGCCAGCTACTGCCAGGAAAATGTACATGTAATTACAACAGTGAGACCGACTCCCCCCGATAAAGTTGGTGCGTACCTTTTTTTTTTCAATTATTTTAAAATAATGCTAAAGTTGCGATAACAATCGATCTGCTGTTACTAAAAAGTCAATTTGGTCAGCATATGATTTTTATTTGTTTTTCCATTGTATTGTAGAGCAAATATTTTCATCTGTAAAAAACTAGCCTCAAAATAAATTCATTCACTTTCGGCATTTTCAATTAAAAAATTACATTTTAAATTTCAATCTAGAGAGCCGTGGCTATGTCAAAACTACTAGTTTTTTAATCAGGGAGCTTTGGAAAAATAGATTTGATCGTCTAATATTTTGTCGCGACTTTTCCTGACCGGTTAAAAGAGGTCTAAACCGTATTTTTAATCATTAACTCAATTTTTTCAAACGGAACGAAGGCGTAAAAATAAATATAAAATAATAAAAAAAACATTTTATATCAACCCTGATAAACACTTTTTAAAATTTATGAATTTTTAAGTTATGGTGAGTCACTTCTGTTTGGGTTTTCAAAACTTACAAAAACAGCAGTAAATAAGGATCAAAATAGAGAAAAAAACCGACGAAAAGAACAAAGAACATTAAAGTTTTAAACTATCCGATCTTAGACCTCTCGGTTTCAACTTTTAAACTCAATTAATCTACGTTAGAACGTGAATTTACTGCTGTGGCGTCGGTTTTTCAAGCCCCAAATTGAAATTAATTTGAATTTTTGTTTTTCGCCCCCCGCTGAACTGGGCTACCATCAAATAAACTTTGTTAAATTCAATTAACGCTTTGTAATATAATTTATTACAAAACAGTAACAGTGGACTGTGCAGAAAAAAGGGTTGTCTTGAAATTGAGATTAATTTTATTATTCTTTTTTATAAAACCATTTCTGACAAAAGGAAAAAATAAAAAAGTTTTTCTTAACATTTACACACATTCTAATGCCAACAATCTTACACACATTATAATGCCAAAGCGCAAGGCGATAGTATAAATTTCCAGCTCGGAAAGGGTACCTTCCATTAGGGTAGAGAATACTACTAGTGGTACTTCTTTTATCCTTATTAATTAAAGCTAAACCTTTCTTAATAAAGTATTTAGGAGCTAACATCAATAGTCAGTGCGACCCGAAAAGAGAACTATTTTCAAGAATTGAGCAAGCGAGAAAAATCTTCGTGAGTATGAAATCATTTTTTACAAGACGAGACCTCAGTGCAGAACTCAGAACTCGAATGGCCAGATGCTACGTCTTCTCTGTGTTACTTTATGGATGTGAGAGCTGGACAGTAAATTCACAGACCGAAAAGAGAATAGAAGCCTTCGAAAGGCATGTGTACAGACGGATGCTGCAAATTTCATGGGTACAAAGGATCACCAACGATAAAGTACTCCATGCGCATGCAGAAACAAAAAGAGATACTGAACACCATCAAGGAAAGAAAAATGTAATACCTGGGTCATGTGATCAGAGGTGATAGATACGAAATACTGCGCCTCATAATAGAGGGTAAAGTGAAAGGGAAAAGATCAGTAGGAAGACACCAGAACTCATGGCTAAAAGATTTAAGGAGAGGGTTTGAACGTTCGTCTGCGGAAATCTTCCGGGCTGCAGTTTCCAGAGCCACAATTGCAATTTAGATCGCCAACCTTTGGCAGGAGAGGGCGTGATAAGAAGAAGAAGAAGAAACCTTTCTTATGTAAAGAAGGTGCTATTTGCTTAGTTCAAAACGGTGAACGGTTTTCAAGATATTTGCGTTTAAAGAGTTCCGAAACATCGATTTTAATATTAGAAATGTCACGAGATTATTTCTTTATTTAAAATTTCTTTACAATAATTTATCACTTTATTACTAAATACTAAAATCGATGCATCATAATCTTTAAACGCAAATATCTTAAAAAATATTTACCGTTTCGAACTAAACGAAGACCATCTTTTTTACGTAAAAAAAGCTAGCTTTTTATGCTATTTGTTGAAATTAATGTATCTATAAAGATAAAAGGATTACCACAAGTAGTATTCCCTACCCTAATAGACAGTACCCTTTCAGGGCTGTTATGGAACTTTATGCGATATCCATTCGCTTTGTCATTAAAATGTTTGTAAAAGTACCAAATCTCAGGAAGAACGGTATACTAATATTTTTAAGAATAAATAAAATATGTATGTTATTTTTATTTAACCTTTCGAGGACTGTATCTTTTCCGGGAAGGTTTTGAGGGTATATGCTAATTGAATAAAACTTTTTGTTTTATTTTTAACTATATTAACTGTTAAATATTTTTCATGCTCTATTAACTGTTTTTTTTTTTCTCATAATTGAAAAACGTAAAAATAATAAGAAAACAAACGAAAAATAATTACTAATTTGTTTACAGCACACTTTTTATTGTTTCAATATAGAAAGAAAAAACGTCACTCGTAGACAGCGAAATTATGCACCAATAACAAAATATCGTGCTTTCGGTTGTTGGAAATGACTAAAAAAAATCGAAAATTTTTATTTTCCATTTGAATAACATCCAAAACAAAAATCAAATTTTAAATTTTTTTCCAACAACATTTCCGATATAATTAAAAAAATAGTCGATTTTTTTGAAACAGTCTTATAAACACTATCGTTACAGATAACTAATTCAATCTTACTTGTGTTGAATCAATGCCAGAATCCGTGTGATTGATCACGTCCAGACAGGTTGAATGTTGCGAAACGTTGTCGTCAGCGTACTCAGGAAAAACGAAGCTCTGCCCGTCGGCCTCGCCGCGGGGTGAGTCCGAACTCGGCCAGACCTATACGAAATAAATCGACATTAGAGACCCGAAATAAGGGAGAGGATTGTTAATAAATCAGGCACAGTTTGCTGTGTTTGAGAAAGAAAAATGGTACTTCGATTTAGATGATTGTAGAAAGAAAAACTGAAAACGAAGAGCAATTCTTACTCCATTAGTGTTTAATACAGAGTGAACAACAATGACTGAATTAATTAAATTATTATCTATCATCTATTATCATTAAAAAATAAATAGATTTAATCTGATTGTTTTTGAGATATTACGCCTCGAAGATCCCTAAATTTTCTCTCCATGTCTTAACGCTCTGGAGATAGATTTCACAAGTATATTGATAGGACGTATTGTTTAAAAACATGACTAAAATTTAATATTTTCTAATGATTCAATGTTTATTTAAAAGGTAGAATCATCAACCAAATCACATTTTGGAACTTGTTTGAATTTTGGCATGTTTTATGATAATAAAAAAACCGGGAAAACATTCCTTAGCCCCAAAACTGTCAGATTTTTACAAACTAATTCATATTTTCACTAATATTAGCTTATTTCAGTTAGAGTTTAGTTTTTTATTTAAAACTCTTTTGCATGAATTCGGCACACGTTCGAGTACGTTTCCATTAAAATGGAGAAAATATTAGAAAAAGCTGAAGAAGCACGGCAAGCATTACTTCTATCTAATAGTACATCCATTTACCAAAAGGAATATAAAATATACCTTCAGTGGCTGGGACAGAAAAATATTGTAGTAGAGTATGTCGATAAAACTTTGTGTGTTTGTGTGTGTTCTCTTGTAAATTTATTATAATATGTGACATTAATGATGTAAATAAATTATTACGACTAGAGTAGTTAGATGAGTGCTTTTCATTTTATATTATTACTAAAAATCTCTTTTGTATTTCATGGTTGTAACCTATAAAAGGTAGAGGGAATTATGGCATCTTAGTTCTCATTAATAATGTCCCAAGTGAGTTATAACTCTATTTATAGTTAGCGTAACCAAGACGATAGAAACTCATATTAATATCAATGACAAGAACAAATAGAATGATTTAAAAGTCTATAAAATTGCTAGTTTGGTACTGTGAAAATAACTTCATATAAAACCACAGTAAATCAATATAGAAACAGTTCGTTCGTCATTACGAATACAATAACAGTAAAATCTTTCTGTTAATGGCTGTTTCGACTTTATGATTCGTTATACTACGAAAATTTATTTCCGGAATATTACATGAAGGTCGCAGTATAATTACTTATAATTTCTATATAATAATATATTATATTATCGAAAAATATTATTTATTTGTTTATAATAAAAATGTTTATCCAAAATCAATAAAAATGTAGAATTTTTGCCTATTAGGCTCACTGAAACAATGGAAATTATTCTTTCTAGATAGAAAATCTTTAAATAAATAGTATTTTAAGTAATTTAATGGCAATGCTTATGTGCAAGACCATAAATTAATGCCTTTATTTTCAAAAAAATTTACAATTTGTAGACAAAGGTAAAGTAAACAAACAAAGTAAACAAAAAAAAAACAAAAGAGAGAAGAGAATACAAAACAATATACAAATAACATTGTCAGTCTTTTTGTTCAAAATAAACATTTATAAATGTTAACAAAGTCAAAGAATAAGAAAAATAAAAATAAGATTCAAAAATATTTGGTAAGTTTATACTAAATATCAATGACCTCTAGATAAATCCATTTTGATGTCATTGGTAAATATAGTAATAGCAAACATTAGACCAGTGTTTACAAGATCAAATTCGATTATCAAAATATAAGTCATTTACAGCGTAGAAAGCCTTATCTAGTAAATAAGATTTCAATGCCTTGCGAAATGAAGAAAATGATGTTATGGATTTGGTTTCAAATTGCAGGTGATTGTGCATTTTTTCCGAGTTGTATAATATTGAACTTTTAACTAACTCTGAGCGTGGGGTAGGTAGATAAAGATCTTGCTCCGCCTTTCTTGAGAAGCTGATACATGCTTACCTATTAGTCAAACGGATTCAAATATAAATAAGGAAAGAAGGGTTAATATTTTTAATTTTTTAAAAAAGTCCTGGCAATGAGTTCTGCTGTTTAGTCCCAGTGAATATCGAACAGCTCTCTTCTGGAGCTTGAAAATGCGGTCAAAGTGAGTCGCATAAGACGTACCCCAGAAAGGCAGGGCATATCTGAGGTGCGACTCAAAAAGTGCATAATAAACAGGACAAGTTAAGCTCCTTAGAAACAGATCTTAATGCAAAACACAGGCAGAGCTCAATTTTTTCGACAAAGTGTCGATATGCATGTCCCATTTCAGAGAATTGTCTACAACAAGCCCTAAGAATTTTACAGGTTTTACGACGTCAATGGTGGTGTTGTTAAGTACAAAAGGCTGCAGCGAGTTTTTATCCGACAAAGCTTTAGTTTTAGAAATGTTGAGACTCAGGAGGCTCGAATCGCACCAATATTTAATGGTGATTAAGTCATTTGATATAATCCTATGAAGACCATTTTCGCTCATCACTACCTACATTCGTCACTGCCTCATCGTACCTAACATTCAATAAAAAAGTACAAATAAAAAATATATTAATTTTATTATACCTAAAACTAGAATTAATTTATACAAGAAATAAAATAAATCTGATTTAGCTATCGGCATTTGCAAGCTTATTTTAACAAAAATAAAATTAGTATTTATATTCAAACGGCGTCGTTTCTGCATATTCATGAAGCGAAAAATGAATAAATTAATGTTATTTTCAGCGACTTTCAGTACTAAAAGGCTAATCGATTGAAATAATAGTCGAGAAAATATGTAATTTAAATAAAGTTGAAAATAATTTCAAACCATTTGAGAGGAGAATAAATTTAGAGCCTTATAACCTAGAGTAGGACAACAAACGTTATCGAATTGATAGGATAATGTTTTTTTTTCAGAGCAACTGTTAAAATTGCCTTATATCAAATATAGTAGATAAAATAATACTTTAACCGCAAGGTATCTCTCCGGTGTTGGACACAATTGCTGCAATCCACATTTGTAACGCTCCCTAAAAAGTCAAACTCCAAAAGATGCAATGAGTATCGTCTGGTAAGCCTTATGTGTCATACATTAAAAGTGTTTCTGCGTGTCCTTCACTCTAGACTATGGAGAAGGATAGACGAAAATATAAGTGAAACTCAATTCGGCTTTAGAAGTGGGCTGGGAACCAGAGATGCTTTGTTCTCAATACAGGTTTTAGTCCAAAACTGCCTCGATCAGCAGACAAGTGCCTTCGCATGTTTCATAGATTATGAGAAGGCATTTGATAACGTGAAACATGACAAGCTGATACATTTACTGAAGCGGATTGGGTTAGATGGCAAAGACATCAGAATCATTAGAAACTTATATTGGAATCAGTCAGCTTATATAAAAATCGGAAATATGTCAACAACGGATATAGAAATTCTTAAAGGTGTCAGACAAGGATGTATATTATCGCCACTTCTGTTTAATTTATATTCTGAATCGATATTCCAGGAGGCGTTGGAAGATTTAGAAGTGGGAATAAAGGTAAGGAATGGTAAACCTATTAATAACATCCGATATGCTGACGATACGGTGCTCCTAGCTGGCAATGAGAAGGATTTGCAATGCCTGGTGGACAGAGTTAGCAGTATTAGTCAGAGTCATGGTCTTAAAATAAATATGAACAAAACAAAATTTATGATTATCAGCAAACAAAATATCGAAAATATCAGGATACAGGTGGAAGATCAAAATATAGAAAGGGTAAGAAGATTTAAGTACTTGGGTTGCTGGCTGAATGATAAATGGGATCCTGATGAAGAAATCAAACATAGAATTGAAATAGCCAGAAACACTTTTTTCAAAATGAAAACTCTACTCTGCAACCGAGACCTGATCTGACTACTCGATGGCGAGCTACCAAATGCTATGTACTCTCTACATTGTTATACGGAGTCGAGGGATGGACGTTGAAGGCACGGACCATGTCACGCTTGGATTCATTTGAGATGTGGTTATACCGACGAATGTTGAAAATATCCTGGACCGAACGAATAACAAATCTCGAAGTATTAGAAAGAATGTTTAAGGACCAAGAACTATTAACTACAATAAAAAGACGGAAAGCAGCATATTTTGGTCATATTTTTCGAAATAACAAATATAGTTTTCTACAGCTGATCGTTGAGGGAAAGATTGAAGGACGACGAGGCATCGGGCGTAAACGGTTTTCCTGGTTGCGGAATTTGCGCCAGTGGTTTAATATAGGAGAGGCCAGTGCAATTATCCATTTGGCTCAAGACAGGGAGGAATTCCAATTGATGGGCGCCAACCTCCAATGAGGAGAAGGCACACGAAGAAGAAAGAAGTATAAAGAATAACTAAAAAGTATCTACTTTAGATACAGATTATTTGATAAACTTACCTGAAGTAAAGGCAATGAGCAGTTAGGTCCTGACTTGGCTTCATGATTTGGTGAATCGTGGTCGCCTTGAGAACTACTACTGTTAGAAGTTTTGACAGCTGACCAAAAGCGTTTCAGACCCAACTCCCTGCGTTGTTTCTAAAACAAAATAAAAGTTTTGAAAGAAAATTTTTGTTGCGAAATCTGATAACATCATCTTGTAGAATAAAAAAAGTAGCAGTAAGAATGTCAAATTTATTTTGTTATGTCTATTCAAATAGGGCCATAAAAAAATTAAAATAAAAGGTCCAAAAGAAAAACATGATAAACGCTTCAGAATGTAAACATGTGATAACTACGTTTTAATGTAATGATTATGTTTTGTAGGTTTACTATAATTACAGTAACAGGAAATGAAACAAATACGAAATTTTGAAAGCCAGAAAAATTAAAAAAAAGGCTTGAAAAAAAATAACGCAATTAAATGGGCTTCTCAAGTTATTTCTCTGGGCGGCTGGTGGTTATCAAGTTCTTTCCCTGTATCTCTATTTTTAATAGGCATAATATATCATAGGATTTAACAGCTTATTGCCCTGCAGAGTTTATAGGTTTGGTGCATTCTCCGCCGGTGCTGCCACCATCGGAAAATATCCTTTAAGTAGCGAGTATACGAAAAATGTATTAATTTCTTCTTCTTCTTCTTTTGGAAAGCGTATCGCTTGTTTAGTTCCGGTTTCCTCCTCGTCTAAGCAACTTTTGCGAGGTTGACTGCCAACTGTCTTGCCAACGTTTAGGTGGTCGTCCAGTAGGTCTTCTGCCATGAGGTATGTTGTTGCGAATTATTATGGCCATTCTGTCGGGGCCCATTCTATTGACATGCTGGTTTGGCAATATAAACAATATTTTTTTCCATCTTCTCTTCTTCTCTGCCTTATCTATCTGACAACGTCGTTTGTTTGGCACTTTTCTCTTATGTCTATATTTCTCTGTCTGTCCCTCAATGTGTATCCAGTTATCATTCTTAAGGTCTTCATTTCAGTAGTTGGTAGGATTCTCTTTGTTACTGATGTTTCAGCTCTGGTTTCCGCACCATATGTCATCACTGGTCGTATGCAGGTTTTGTATATTCTTGACTTACATTCTGTACTCAAATGTTTGTTTTTCCATATGGGATATTTAAGATGTCCTGATATTGCGGCAGCTTTATGGGCTTGTTTTCTTACTTCTTCTTCCAGGAATCCTGAGCTTGTAATTTTGCATCCGAGGTATTCGAATGACATTATCTGATCAATAGTTTTGTTTTTTATCACCAATTTGCACCGTAGAGACTCCTTTGTAATGGTCATGCATTTGGTCTTATTTGTGGAAATTTGCATGTTAAGTTTTTCTGCCTGTCTGTTAAAGGTTGTAGCATTCTTTGGAGGTCGTCCTCTGACTCTGCAATAAGTACTGCGTCATCGGCATAGCATAATATGTTTACTTTATGCACTCCCATTCGATATCCTAATCCAGTATTCTTGACGGTTTTTATTACTTGATCCATGATTGTGTTGAATAACAGAGGGCTGAGACTGTCGCCTTGGCGAATACCAGTTGTAGTTCGAAGATGCTGCGTTAAGGTAAAGTTTGTTCTTATTTGGGTTGTTGTGTTTGTGTTTAAGTCCTTGATAAGTTCTGTGAGTACTTTCGAGACATTACTGCTTTCCAAGATGGTGATGATGTCTTTTAGTTGGACTCTATCAAAGGCCTTTGTTAAATATATAAAACATAGATAGGCTGGAGAGTTATATTCTAAGGATTTTTCAACTAGTTGCCTGAGTATGAATAGTGCATCGGTAGTTGATCGGTTTCTTCGGAATCCTTGTTGTTCCTCGCTTATTGGCACTATTGAGGAGATTTTGTCCGCAATGATCTTAGTCAGAAGTTTTAGCGAGGTGCTCAGTAATGGTATTCCTATAGTTTGCTGGGTCTGTTTTATCTCCCTTTTTAAAAATGGGTATTGTTATACTTTGTTTCCATTCTTCTGGTATTTTCTTATGTTGTAATATAATGTTAAACAGTTTTGTGTATTCCTCTATGATAGCCGTGCCTGCGTTTTTTATTAGCTCGTTTGGTATTTTATCTTGATTAGGAGATTTTCTATTTTTAAGTTTCCTTATTGTCTCTTCTACTTGCTTGTAAGTGATTTGCGCATGATCTTCTATATTATCTCTTTGGATTGTCTCTTGTGCTTCCATTCGTTCATCTGTTTCTGCGTATAAGTCTCTGAAATATTTTCCCACGTATTTTCTGCAATTGTTGTTAGTTGTATTGTTTCATTTGTATCTCGTTTCAAACCCCTCAATATCTTCCAAATACGTTTTTGTGCTCCGTACATATCCGCCTCCATTTCAATGAGTATTAATTTATTGATTTTAAAAGGGTTAGGAAGTATAATTTGTGAAAATTCTAAAAATAAAAATAAGAAAGTAAATATTTTGATATATTCACAAGGTCTAACTTGTATTATAACTTATTATTGCAGTTAAAAAACTTTGATTTGATGAGTTCAACTACGATAGCGAGCATAGTTTTAATCGCCGGGTTTGTTAGTAGAACATAATCGGCCCATAATTATAATTTTAGATGTTCATAAAACATTTATTTAATCATTAGTCGATTAAAAAGAGTATACCATTAATATTGCAAATTTTATTTTGTCCTCTCATAGTATATAGTATACCTCGTACCTGTTAGTTTTCAAAATCTCAAGACACCCTGTGCAAAGCATGATAATGTAATCAAACAATACCTAATTATATCAAATTACATGATTACACCAAATTAACTCCGTTTTTACCACAAATAAATTACAACTCGTCTGAGAGTTAGACACAAGAGACAATTTCTCCTTTTTAATAAGAAAAGTTATTTTAAGCTTGGACACGTTCACGTTCGTCTATCCTTGAGACCATTTTAGCGTGAGCTAATGGAGTTTTCGTCTAAATAAATGACCTCGCTCTGATTGATACCTCTGTTGTCTCGGAAGACGTTTAGAGGAAAAAACGCCACGTTTCTCAGTGTATGTGTTATTTTAAAACGGTCAACGTGGGCAGATGTGTAGGAGGAGAGTTGGTATAAATAATAGATCTATGGTGTTGGCGTTGGAGTAAAGTGTAGTAAAGTAAGAGTCTAGTGGAAAGAACCTTAACTGATTTAATATTTGGACTTAATTTTTTTAAGGAAGGTGTTTTAAATATAAATATAACAATTTTTGTATAATAAACCACATAAACAAAGTTTTTAAAATGTTTTATTACACTCTCATGAACATTTTTTATATTAGAATTTTTTTTTAATTTTGCAGTTATTAGTCAAAGAAACATTCCACATACCGGGTGTTGCATCGTCGAGCGGGACATTAGAAATCCCATGCAAATTTTAATGGGGTCAATTATTGGCTTCCCTAATTATTTTAGAGAATAATTCTATTTAGGTTTAGTGAAGAGCACTAAAACCCACATTCAAAAGAATGACATTAGATATTTTTGATTAGCCCGTTTACGAGTTATTGCCGATTTCTTTTTAAATATTTCTCCTTTCTTACGGCCCTGTATTTACTTATGAGCACCAGTCAATGTAAAAGATAACAGTCAAATGAAGTTGTCATTTCAGAAATTTATCTATTTAGTGCTTTATTATTATTATTATTATTATTAACTAACTCATACCTACATCGAAAATATTAGGCATGAATTACACTACCGAAGAAAAAGTATTGATGATTAAATGGTATTATCAAGGAAATAGTTATCAAAAGGTGTTGGACATGTTTGCTGCTCTGTATCCGAATAGACCGATACCTGGAAAATCTACAATCGCAAGGAATATCCAGAGATTTGACACCAAAGGTACCCTAATAAATAACTGCAGATGTGAAGCAAGGCAGGAACGAAGAGACGATGCAAGAAATGATACCGACTTGGAAGTTTTATTGTGCGTGGAAGAGAACGATGGAAAGATCAGCACAAGCAAACTTGAGGATGAAATAGGAATAGATCACACTACAGCGTTTCGAATTTTGAAACGACATAAATACTACCTTCAAATATGAAAAGCACCAAGAGCTACAAGATGGGGACGAAATACGGCGGCAGGCGTTTTGTTTTGATATGATGGAAAGAGCAAACACGGATAGAAAATTTTTAAAAAACATATGTTTCACTGACAAATGCACGTTTACCTTAAAGAATGAACCCAATGTTCAAAATTATCGATATTGGAACAAAGAAAACCAACACAGGTTTGTCGAAACAAGGACGCAATATCCACAGAAAGTAAATGTTTGGGCGGGGATATTCGGACACAATATTATCGGGCCATTATTTCTTACGCGAAATTTAAATGCAGAATATTATTTAAAACTAGGATATATACAAGAATAAAAAATACCCAAATCTAGAAGAGTTAAAAAATGCTATTTCTGCCGAATGCAATAGAATTTCAGTTTACCAATTAGCGAATGTAAGAAGAGAATTTTATGATCGCCTGGGTTATTGTCTAGCAGTCGATGGAGGAATATTTGATCTTCTTAAATCCTAAAGTTCTAACAATTTAATAGTACCTAAATTAATAAGTTGTTGAATATTGTAATAATACTATAATTAACCTTGTAATTGATTGCTTTATTTTTTAGAATTTAGAATGAGTGAGAGGGGAGTTAATCACTTCGACCTTACAGATCCATTGTGTCCCCCTTTCTTGAATCATAACTCATCATACAGTCCCAGGGCAGTATCTGGGACGGTTTTATAGAGGGTAGTTCTCCCTCTCCAATATCAGTCGTACCAAAATTCATGGCACGAATGGTTGTCGTCTCGGCGCACTCAGTGATGAGGTGTACTAGTGTTTCCCCATCTTCCCCACAGAATCTGCATTCGCCGTTTCTTCTTAGTTTCAATCTACTGAGGTGTTCATTGAGGAGACAGTGTCCTGTTAAAAACCCCGTGACAATCCGAAGATTGTTCTTACTCAGACCCAATTGCTTTATTTTACTTTAATTCATATTAATTTGTATTTATAAATACATCTTTAAGATTTCCGATGTAGGAATGAGTTTTCAATAATAATAAAGCACTAAATAGGTAAATTTCTGAAATGACAACTTCAGTTGACACTTA